AAGTAACAGATGCATTCACTCAATCAGAATAACAGTTGTATCATAACCTGGTCTGGTGGATAACGCTTTCGCGTTTGAAACGATAGGCATTGGGCTGCAGCCTCAAACACCATCACTAACTGGAGAATGCAGGTACATAGACTAGCTGAAGAGTCCCAAGTGGGACGAAATGCGAATCTTTTATTCCACTGATAGTCACCATCCACCGAATTACTTTGCTGTTTAGTTTATTATCATAATTATTAGTTTATTAATAACATTGCAGTTCCAGTGAAGATTTCATTTGACCAACTTACTGTCTTCTCACCGTCTTATATCCGTTTTATACATGCAAACTGTTTGGGTCATCTTTACGCTTATGACGTAACGCCAACTTCTGTTTATTAATTCCTAATCGTATATTCCTTTCTGGGCTATTCCTCGAGTTATGTAAAAAATTTTCCAGAACACAATTATCAGTATTTGACTGACTCTATAAATTCTCCTTCGAATATAAAGACGACAATGATTAGACACTAGTAACTAGTGCGATGTGTCTAGTCCTTTCTTTGGTGCAGACTGAATTCTATCAGTCAGGTATTTGCAATGTGGCCACCATTCTAGGCAGCTCGCCATCACGGTGCACATTGATTTGATGATATTACATAGTTGGAGGCAATCGGCAGGAAGTCACGCTTGACCTAGATTTCGTGCTAGTCGGCACTCGTCAGCATGGCGTATCTGCAACCTTGAAGGAACTTATATCCCTTCTGAGATTCTAACTCGAGTCACCCAGTGCTGCGGTTAGTTAGAGACGTTACCACTGAGCTATTCGGGCTCGTGATTGACGTACATACGCCTTGCTGGTAAGTGCCAACTAGCATGAAACCTAGGTCAGAGGCTTCCTGCCGATTGCCTCCAACTATCAAATATCATCAAATCAATGTGCACCGTGATGATGACCTACCTAGAATGGTGGCCACATCGCAAACCTGACTGAAAGAATTCAGTCTGCACCGAGGAAAGGACTAGGTAGATCACACTAGTTACTACTGTCCAATCAAAGTATCATTACTACAGTCCTACAGGAGGTCAATCGCGATCCTCGACAGCTTAGTGGTAACGTCTCTGACTGCAGCACGAACTGGGTGACGCGAGTTCGAATCTCAGAAGGGACATGAGTTCGTTCAAGGTTGCAGATACGTCTTGCTGACGAGTGCCGACCAGCAAGAAATCTAGGTCAAGCGTGACTTCCCGTCGGTTGCCTCCAACCATCTAATATCATGAAATAAATACGACTCTGTAGCACTTTTGAAAATGATTCGTCGAAGAGTAAATTTACTTCCTAATAGGAATAACTTTGGTTTCCAGAGAAGACTGTACTGAAATTCCGCCTCTATCCGTATAAATTGCAAATCGCCAATTAATTCGCGAATTCGATTTGACGATCAGCTAGCCCATGTAGCTAGCAGTAAATACCGCTGTATCACTATTAGGTACCTTAACTTTAATTAGTACTGAAATGACTGAATTTTGCAGGCTAAAACCCACTTGAACCACAGACTGCCTTGGTGGAATTTGATTGGATAACTCACTTGATCTCTCACCTTATACAACCAATTGAATTATTTATTGGTAGGGTATACATATGATAGAGGCGAGTCTCGTCTTCTAATTTATTTATTCTAAATTTAGTCGAGTTTCCTGTTGCAATTCAGTGTGAATCTGAATCACAGTATTATAATGAAGGTTGTATCAAATTCGGTGATGCCTCGAAAATCAAAGCGGGTCCTCAAAGTTTGAGAAAATTGATGGGGCAGAACCTTAAAATGATAGAGTCAATTTCTAGTTTATGAATGTCTTCCCCTGCCGATTCATCCTCAGCCAATGATAACGGTGGAAGAAGCACAACAGAATTTATTTATGATCCAGACACAAACATTACGTTCGAAACTTGGTTCAAGGTGGATTTTTTGGGCAGAGACGATGATCAGAGAGTTAGACTGTTTGTTACTTCGAAATTTCAGTTCAGATGAGCCAGACAAATATTGCAAACTAATTCTCTCTCAGATACATTGTGGGAGAACATACCATGAAACCATCCAGATACTCTGTCAACAGTTCAGTAACTCTAGATCATTGTTCAACACACAATATCATTGTATGAAACGCGTGATGAAGGAAAACGATTATATTCACACGAAACTGGATATAGCCAACAGATTATGTGAACGGTTCTTGTTGAATTCATTAACAGTTTAAAGTGTTTATAAAATCAGTCCGAGTTTGGTTCTCGGCTGAGACCCCCTCCTCCTCTAAACTAACGCTTAATTTAGTGACTGGTAATTAGCTCGGTGGTATAGCGGTTAGGACGCTCGCCGACTATGCACATGGTCCAGGGTTCGATCCCCGGCCGACGCACTCCTTTACCTCACTGAGCCAGAAATAATGCTGGTGAAGAGGAAAGGTTGGGCATGAGGCTAGCAACCCCATCCTGTAAAAATAAACACTGCTACAGAAACTTCAAGTCACTAGCTTGAAGCTCTATGTTCCACTGGGGAACGTGAAGGAAAAAAATTAGCTCGGAAAAGAAAGAAGGTTGGGTGTGACGCCACCAACTCTACCGATAGATGCATAACCCTACATAATACTGGTTGGTTAACATGAGTATTAGAACACTATTCATACCAACTATTAGTGTTTGCTACCAACATTGAAGTGATGTGAACACCGGACGGTCGTTTCGCTCATTCAGAGCCAAGCCCATCATCTGTGTACTCGGTTTGACTCAGCTCAGAGAGTTGAATCAGTTCAAATCGTCTGAATTCTGGCTACCTACATGGGGGGGGCGGGGGACTGGTAATAGCACAAATCAAATTCACAATCTGCGAACACATTTGCAATTTACACAGTTCGATGTGAAATTTCGTCACAGTTCTCGTCGATAAACTTTGTAAATTACAAATCAATTTTCAAATTGTGAATCTGATTCGTGCTATTACCAGCCCCCCGCCCACCATATAGCTAGCCAGAATTCAGATGATTTGAACTGATTCAACTCTCTGAGCTGAGTCAAACTGACTACACAGATGATGAGCTTGGCTGTAAATGAGCGAAACGACATTCCGGTGTTCAGATCACTAATCGCTGGTTTGAATAGTGTTCAACTATTCACGTCGACCAACCAATAGTATATAGACAGCATCATACAACTAGCTTGGCAGTTGCTAGCCTCATACCCAACCTTCCCTTTTCTCAAGTGTTGGTTTGTAGGGATTTGATTGGTTACAAGATTTTCATCATGAGCTGACATTAGTTAGAGAACCATTGGAAAACCAGGGAGTACTGGACAGTTGTTTCGTCCTAGTTTGTGACTCTTTATCAGTACGCACTCACACAGCCGGGTTCGAACCCAGGACCTTCTGGTTACAATGCGAGCTCGTATACCATTAAGCCACTGAGACCCGATCCAATGGCCAGTCCATGAATTCTAACTTCTGCCAATTCACGACATAGCGCGACCCCTAGCCAATTTCTTCGGCGAGTATTTGTCCTCACACCCAACCTGCTGCACCCCACTGGTCACAACTGCTCACTAGAACCCCAGGTAACAACCTACCTGAATAGGGCAAGTCGCTAGTGAGCATCTCATTGATATTCAAGTGTTGGTTCCCTTTTTTCCCCTGCTAACTATCGATTAGACTAACTAACTAGACGATAGTTTAAGGGTCCGGCAGCCAAGAACCGAACTCGAACCTTCCCACCACTGAACAAACGACGCACAATTCCTATTTGAAGTCATCCTCAGAGAGAGAGAGAAATTAATTTTAATTTATTAAAAGAGCAAATAAGTAAATACATAATTCAATTACATTTCCATTATGAAAATAATGATAATAGTAATAATAATAATAATAATTTATGATGGAGATTCGAAAGTACTGGGAAGAAATCTTGAAGGAGAAAACAATTCCACTGTCACACGATACTAATAATAATAATAAAGAAATAAAACAAAACAATCTTACTGTGACTAATGAATATAATGAGTCGTAAAAAAACAAAACAAAAACACAATGAACAAAAACGAATTAAATCAATCACAATATCTAATAAATTAAGTTAAACAATTAGAAAAGAAATGAAAACCAAAATTAAACAATAATTAATTAAAACTGTAGATAATTCATCCGTTTACTAGAAGAAAGTTAGCGCTGATTCATCCTTCGATGCTTTATCTGTCCACTCTTTCTCTAATTGCCACGCACGACCTCTTTGTTTAACGATATTACTAGTGTTGTTACTACTGATGGTAGGCGTCGCAGTAGTAGTATATTAAAAAAAACAGAAAGACTTGTCTCATCATGTTCATCGAACGAGATCACATAAAGAAGAGAGAAAAAACACAGTCAAAATAGGTAGGGAGAAAAATATAAGAAAGAAACGCTTTTCATAACCGGGTTGTTTCAAATAAGAAAAGAAAATGAAAAACAGGAAGGGAAAAAGCAGATGACTCTGTGGAGAGACCAGCAGTACATAAAGGAAAGCAGCGTAAAGCTTTACACCAAGCTCAACACCACCACATATCCTTGTGTACAATAACAACAACAACAACAACGAGACGACAATAAAGGCCGAAATCATACAACATTATCACAATTTGTTCTCCCACAGAAAATGGGGGCAGATAGCACACTGCGTAAAATGAAAAAAAAACTAAAAATAAGCTCTCTTCGTGCAAACATATTCTCCCAAAAAACAGGAATAAAGCAGGATAGAACGGAAATGTGTCTTCTCCCACTCTGTATCTCTCCATGATGTTATATCAGAATGAATGAATGAATATATGTATATGTATGACAAGAAAACAGTAGTGAACAAGGAGGAAAGGACAAAATAAGTAAAGGAAATTGCGATTATCTATCTCTATCTATCTATCTACCTACCTACCTACCTCTAATCAGTTCTACCTGGCGGATGCGCGTGTGTGCATGCGTGTAGGCAGGTTTATGGTATACAACTTATGGACAACAATAAAGCCATTCACGAAATTTTAAGCATTGTTCTTCAATAGATAATTCTTTACAAAAATAATTACGTAATAATACTTGTTTCCAAAAAGCTTTTTGAAAATCATATAATCTTAGTCGCCAATAAGATTCAATCATAGTTTCAACACTAGGACGTCGATCATTACATTGGTTTGTGATATCTGTACTATTATTATTATTGTTATTATTATTATAACCATCATTATGATTGGATCGTTCAATATTTTGTAATTCTTGTGTAAATAATTCTAAAAATAGACAATTTACAGATTCTAGCACTTCTTCTTTATTCCCTTCTTCTTCACTTTCTACAATTGATCGTATACTCTAAAATATCAACGAGAAAGAAAAAATAGAATAAAGAAGAGAAATAACAATGAAAGTAGGTATGAACGGTGATGAAATGCGTTCAACTTCAAAATCAAGCATAATTTATTATACTGGGAGGGGGGGGGGCTTAGTCTTTATCCATTCTTTTGGGCTCTAGGTCGAACACAAAGCTTAGTAGTGTATTTCCTAATAGGAAGGGGGTTGCTAACCTCATACCCAACATTCCCCCTTCAGTCAGTTTTAGGAACAACGTCATCCGGCAGTCGAACTCCAACTACGTGCGTTGTTGATAAGTATTCTACAACTATACCAACCCCGACGTACATATTCTTAGTGATAACAGTTTCATCGAAACAGTCTTCGAAATTTTACGTGTAACACTCAAGAAATTAAACAAAACATTACGGAACAGATTTCAAACCTCAAAAAAAAACATTAGAACACTATCCGGTAAAACAGTATGTATAGCTAATTCTATAAGGATACTCTGATTGACTGACTAACTGATTAATTTCAACATAGAACTTGTCGCAGAAGTGCCACACTCCATGTACCACCCAAAGAAAGACAAGACAGAGGAAAAAAGAGATTAAAAATAATGATAACAAGCAGAAATGTGAGGGAAAAAGAATAGTGGCGTTGAAAGGAACAGGGTTTAACGGTTATAACAGATCACAAAGTGTGAATGCATATATGACATTCAGAACAATTTTGAGCCATATCACTGACAGTCTTTAGTTATTGGATCCTAGAATCCAGGGCTTACATCTCCTTACGTGACTCAAGCTAACTGCCAAAGATATCAAGTTTTGGTTTGGCCACCATTAGCTCTCTTCCAACCTGATCAATTCTATGTCAGCTAACATTGCCCATCAAATAAGACGATGAGTAATATATGTCCCAGCCATCTCAAAAGAAGTAGCTTCACAAAATCACCGACTGACTTTCCCTCCTTACTTAACTTACGATGCCTAACCTCAAAATTCCTCATCCTATTCTAGCATCTAATACGAAAGAGAGAGAGGACGTGAACACCTATGGATAAAGATAGCTAGCCTTTTCATACCTTTCATTCTCAATGACCATGTCTCACAGCTAAAAAGGAATACGGATCGAACTGAGGCGCAGTACACGCATCCTTTGATCGATAGCCGGCCCTATATCACATAAGTTGGCAAACGTCACACGAGCCACTTTTTACCCATACTGAGATTTCTTCAGCAATCAGTCTAGTGGGGCTGATGCCGATGAATTGAATTGATTGATAAGGATACTCAGTTCAATCCATTGGTGCAGATGGTAATAAGCCACATCAACTATGTGTAAGGACTGATGATACTCCCTGGCTACCCAAATCTCGGTAGATGGAGAGAAGTTTTAACCCATAATCCAATGTAATTCCATGTTAGATAAGTTTATTTGAAATAACGCACAGTGCCGCAGTATTCATAACCGGATGACGTTTCGAGCACCGATCGCTGTTCACGAGCATATGAATTCAAATCATAACCAATTGATATGATGATGAGGAATAATTTTGTGCTCGAAACGTCATCCAGTTATTACTACTGAATCACCGGGTGTTATTTTAAATAAACTTATCTAATATGGAATTACATTCTACCACAGTGCCTGTAACCCAATGGTTAGTGAAAAATTTACCGAAGCTACATTACTTGCCTACAATATGCTTGTAGACTGATTATTATTATTAGTAGTAGTACGAATACTTACATCATATACTTAAGACAACTCAATATATTGTATAATATTTCAAGCAGACATGTTTGAGGTTAATTACCCAGAAGAGCTTTCTCATATATCCGACCGTGAGTCCCACACTTATTGTACGACGACTGATGACATCATTCAATTGCACAGGCTGAATTACACAGAGCAAGATTCGAACCCGTAACTCCACTGGCTGAAAGTCAGCTGCTTAAATCAATAGGCCAAGCTGTATTCCCGTCAAATTTAAGAGTCATAAACATTTTGAACAGAAGAGTAGACATAACTGTAGGCCAAAGCTGTAGAGATGTGAGTCATTGTCTTAAGCATTCAACTTCCAGCTGCTAACGAGTTCATGGTCCGGGTCCCTCTCCAATTACTTCATCTTGGACAATGAGCGGTATATTTAATCGTTATACAGCTCGGTAGATGAGAGCCTGTTTTAGGCTGAGTTTTAGGTTCTAGTGGAGAGCCGTGACCAGTAGGGTATATCAGGTTGAAGGTGAAGACAGTTACTCATCGAAGAAGACATTGGCTAGCGGTCACGCTATGTCGTGAATTGGCAGAAGTTGGAATTCATGGGCTGGCTACTGGATCGGGTCCCAGTGGATTAATGGTCTACGAGCTCGCTGGCCTTGTAACTAGAAGGCCCTGAGTTCGAACCCTGGTGCTGGTGTGTGTGTACTGCAGAAGAGTCCCAACTCAGGATGCAGGAAACAGCTGTTCAGTACTCTCCATTTGTTTTCCAATGGTTCTCTAACTAATGACAGCTAATGATGAAATCCTCCAACCAATCAATAAAGAAAAATCCCTACAAAACCAATACTTGAAAATTAAGTTTCAAACCAAACCATAGCTAGTTGCTTTATTTCGACTATACTGCTCAATGGTAAATCGACAGGTATACTTCGTGTATTACCTTTGAATTGTGGACATTAATTCAGTTGAATTCGTGGTATTAGTTACATCGGATTGACAAAAAGAGTGGTATATCTAAGAGTCTTCCAAACATGTCCTTGATAGTCTTCATTTAAACGAACTAAATACTCTAAACGTCTGCTCCTCTTCTGACTTTCGCGTCCAGTAGGCTGCGCCTCCACTTCCTTGAGATTGAGATGAAGTCAATTTGGTTTTTGGTTCGCCCATCTGGTGACACCCATGTAGCCTTGTAGATATCCTTGTGTTTGTATACGCTGCCACCAATCACTAGTTCATTGAAGGCGCAGAAGTCGGCGAAGAGTTCTCCATTTTCATTCATTTCTCCGAGAGCTTCTCTACCCATGATGAGTTCCCTTCCTGCGTTGTCTGATCCCAGTTTGGCGTCCATGTCTCCCATTAGTATTTTAATGTCGCCGACTGGAGTATTGTCCATTGTTGCCTGTACTTATCTGTAGAATTCTTCTTTCTTTTCGAGGTCTGCGTTGTTTGTCGGTGCATAGCATTGTATAATTGACACTTTCCTTCCTTTGGAGGTGAATCTGGCGGTCATTATCCTCGGCGAGATCGCCTCCCATTGCATCAGGGCCTTCGTTGCCGTTGGTGAAATCATGATAGCCACGCCCTCGGTGTGCATGTGGTTATCCTCTGGGTGACCGGAGTAGATCACTGACTCACCCGTTGACAATTTGGTGAGTCCATTCCCGTTCCATCTGCTTTCACATATCCCCAGTACTTGAATTCCGTATCTTTTCATTTCGTTTGCGATCTGGGCAGCTTTGCCAATCTCGTACATGGTGTGGACATTCTATGTTCCCACACAGACTTTTCTTTTGGCGCAAGGAGATTCGTCGTGCTGAAGTTTCTGTAGCAGCTTTGTTTACAGGGTCGTCCAAGGGTGACTTGGAGGAGGTCATGTGAAGAGGAGATGGAAACGTGTGGGCAGGACTTGGAGCCAGGTGAAGACTCTAGCAGAGAACCGAACGCAATGGAGACGCACGGCTGAAGCCCTACGTCCTCTAGGAATTAAAGGAAACAATAATAATAATAATAATAAATACTCTAAACAGCATTCCCTATACACCACAGACTAATACGTGCTTTAGTATCGTTTACAATAATCAGTTCACTGAGGTTTTGCAATCAAATATGGCCTTCAGCTGACTTCGTAATAACTTGTGATTATTTAAAAATCATATACCTACCTACGCATCATCTCGCTACCCTAAACAAATTTTGCGTTATTAGATGGTTGGATGTGTATCAGTAGTTCAGTGGTGGAATGCTCGCTCGGTCCCTAAACGTGATTAAGACCGGTAACCAGGGAAGGTTGGGTGTAAGGATAGCAAACCCACTTCTTAAATAATAAACGCCACTGTTATTGAAACAGTTTAAGCTTGAAATCCTATGTTTCACTCGTAAGGCAGAGAAATAAAAAAACATTTTTTTAGGCAATCAGCATGAAGTGTCGGACCTAGGCCTTGTGTTACTTGCCACTCACTAGTCAGCAGGGCATATCTGTAGTCTTGAAGAAACTCCTGTCCCTTTTTAGATTCAAGCTCATTTCACTCAGTGTTGCAGTCAGAAACGTTATTACTAAGCTATTCAGCCTCACAATTGACCTCATGTAGGACTGTAATGGATGATTTTGTTGGAGATCAATTAGTAGCTAATGGTTGTACCATACGAAGGAATAGACGCATAACATTAGTTGCTGCCTAGTATCCAATGAAAAACTTTGTGTTAAGAAACATTTATTTTAAACAAGAGACAAGCGTATTTAGCATAATGTAATAATCTGACCTCATATCAAAGAATTTTTGTCATCCATTATGATAATATTGATTTTTTTATCAAGTAAACTAAAGTATGGTAAATATTTCATTATGGTGTGTGTGACGTTATAAACATTGCACGTACTACGTAGGTGAAGAGAAATGACTAAATACACTCGACCCACTATATTTTCCTCCAGTGTTTGTCCTCAACTTTCTTCTCTCACCTTGTATAATACAGTTCGTTTTATTAAAAATTTTAAAAAACTGTTTAACCAACCTGTACTTCACTAACTTAAACGCAAAATTTCAAATTACATGTCTGATTAAGAGGATTACAAAGCTGAACCTCAGTATTACGTACTAACATTTCACACAACTAATGCAAGTGTTGTAGTATTTGCAATATTAATAATTCATACCACAAAAATGTAACGAAAAGCATTTCATGCTAAATCACATACTGACTAGGATAGTACATTAGTTAGTTACGAGTTCATAACGTAGTAAAATCTCAGTTAAAATATGAAAAAAAACACCTCTAGTGTTACATAGTTAGAGGTGATCGATAGAAATCGCTGGATCTAGGTTTCATGCTTAGTGACACTCGTCAGTTAAGCATATCCATAATCTAGAAGAGCCTGCTTTCACCTCAATGATTCAAATCCATGTCATTGACTCCAGAGGTATTTAAGTACGGTGGAGACAGTTTACTGTCTGCATTAACTGAGGTTCTAGGCAGCGTCTGGAAATCAGAGGAAGTCCCATCGGGTTGGTGTAAGTCACTGATCATCCCGATATACAAGAAGGGAGACAAGTCTTCTTGTGATAATCACAGAGGGATTAGCTTGACTAATATAGTATCTAAAATCCTAGGCTCAATAATACTGCGTAGACTAAGTGGTGCTCGGGAGGCACAAACACGAGAAAACCAGGCAGGTTTTAGGCCAGGTAGAGGATGTATTGATCATATCTTCATCCTTCGACAGATTCTAGAACATAGGCATTCCTACCGGCGTCCGACAATCATTATATTTCTTGACCTAAAGGCGGCATTCGATTCTGTCGACCGGGAGGCTCTCTGGCGATGCTTGGCTGTAAAGGGGATGCCGAGTAAATACATTGCACTGATTAAGGCACTCTACTCGTACTCATGCAGCCAGGTGAGGGCCTATGGCGAGTTGTCATCTGAAGTGGTGACGACTAGTGGCGTCCGTCAAGGATGCCCATTATCCCCATTCCTATTCAACTTCATCATAGATGTACTAATGGACTTAACCCTAACACACTTCAGCGACTCAAGGATTGACTTGCTACTAGGGAAGAATCTCGTTGACTTAGAATATGCGGACGATATAATCCTTCTAGGCGAGGACTCTGGCAAAATGCAGAGTCTACTGAACACCTTGAGCAACAATCTTCGTATGTTTGGCATGCGATTCGCCCCTGTAAAATGTAAGATGATGCTGCAGGATTGGACTTCACCGACCCCTAGATTAGAAATAGGAAGTGAAGTGGTAGAGCACGTTGACCCCTTCACCTATTTGGGAAGTACCATCAGCCCCAACGGGTAGATCTCAGACGAAATATCAGCACGAATACAGAGAGCTAGGTTCGCATATGCCAGTTTACGCCGTCTCTGGCGTAGACGTGATATCCGACTATCGACCAAAGGGCGTGTGTACTGCTCAACAGTCCGCTCCGTCCTCCTTTATGGCTGTGAGACCCAGCCATTGAGAGCAGAAGACATGAAAAGATTAGCTGTCTTCGATCATAGGTGTCTGCGTTCTATCTCCCGCGTGAAGTGGTATAATAAGGTGAGCAATATTGAGGTTAGGCCTCAGTTGAGTGCTAGGTAAGGTGGGGAAATCAATCGAAGAAACTGTGAAATTACTTCGACTGAGATGGTTGGGACATGTGCTACGTATGTCTAGTCATCGCCTTCCCCGACGGGCAATGTTTGCTGATATAGGGCCAGGTTGGAAAAGAGCTAGCGGCGGTCAAACGAAAACATGGCACCAGTCAATGAAATCCACAACAGTTAGTCTAAGCCACGTAGGAAGATGCAGACTTCCTGGTTGGGGTCCTCGGGTCGGTAAAAACCAATGGTTGGAAACAATTGGTGACATGGCTCAAAATCGTTCTCAGTGGCGCAGATGCATCCACTCCTTGTGACTTGTGATTTCCGATGAAACTGTTTTGTTCTTCTTTATTACTATTCCTTTCTCTCACACCTCTGTTTACTGTCTCTATTATGCATTTCTCCTATTTTCTTCTCTTGCTTTGTGTGCTACATGGAGTGTGGCGACTTGAACTGCCGCACATATGTGCAAAGTTCTATGTCGAAAACCGACCGACCGACCGACCAAATCGATGTCACTCAGTGGTCCAGTTAGAGATGTTATCACTGCATTTTCGAGCTCACGATGAACCTTGCATAGGACTGTAATGGGGTTATATTAACTGGTGTTTGGGGAGTATGCCATGTCATGCGTGTGGTCTTCGGTATTGGCTCTGAGTGAATTCTAATCATTCAAGTAGACAAAGCTGATGAGTGTCAAGAAGTACGGAATAATGACAATTGCCTCCGACCAACTGACACCAACTCGAAGAGTACACTGAGATGGCAAGTTATCCAGCTCGGTAAATACCACCTAGCATACTTCAATGATAGAATTGAATCAGAACCAATACGGTGGATTGGAAATATTAGATTAATCATTTCTCAGTGATCAATCAGTATACATACTATTCTGACAGTGATTTAAATAGATTCAAACGGACTCATTTAGCCTGGAGAAGATTATACATGTAATAGACAATGAATCAAAGTTATTACAGTGGTCCATTGACTGAAGTGAACCTTTTCACAGAGAATCGTATGTTAAAACCACTGAACCGATTAGCTCATCGTCAACCGCACCGATTAGGACACTTGTTAAACATGCCAAGCCACCGCCTTACTATCATAGCAACGTTAACTGACATGGGATAAGGTTGGAAAAGAGTTAAGAGTGGTCAAAACTAAACACAACACTAATCAATAAAATTTTTGATTGTTGGCTTGAACCATGAAGATGCTAAGAGCTATTGACTTGAGACAGATGGTAACATGGTTTGAAATCATTCTCAATGGAATAGATCCATTTAATCCTTATTATTCACCATGAAATAAAACCTATCTCCTTAACTTTCACACATGAGTTCAACGTTAAAAAAACAACTTTCATATCACACACTGGCACCGTTGGACAGCAACTCCTACAATACTAACATACACACTAGTAATAAACTTAACAAATGATTGGTGTTTGTTTACAGGATTTCATCATGAGCTGACATTGGTTAGAGAACTATTGGAAAATCAGCTGGGAGTGCAGGACAGCTGTTTCGTCCTAGTTTGTGACTCTTCACAGTACGCACCCACCGGGGTTCAAACACAGGACCTCCTGGTTACAAGGCGAGCTCGTAGAGCTCATGATTGGTGTTTATTCCAACAAGATGCTCGCTAGTGACTGGCTACAGGACGAAGTTGCCTGGAGCTGTTCTAGTGAGAAGTAATAACCAATGGGGTCTACCTGATTGGGAGTGAGAAAAAATACTCGTCGATAACATTAGCTAGTCGTCGTGCTAAAATCATGATTTGGTAGAAGTTGGAATCTATAGACCATTGACTTGGGTCCCAGTGACTCGATGGTATACGAGCTTTCCTTGTTTTTGATGTGGTTGTGTTCTCTGAGCTGGATAGTTAATTTGCGAAGCTTTCATCACCCTACTAGGCGACATCTTTAGCGCATACTTCAACTTGTTGAAGTGAGTTTTTAGATTTCTCCACGAGTTTATGAATCATCTTTTCTGGTGACCTTGGACATGATTGGTTGTTTTTGTGTGTTTTCACACCTTCTAGGTTATTTGTATTGTAACTCATTGTTTCTTTGACTTGAACTTTGACCCTTTGTGTGTGAGGTTTCTTTCTTATCAGTTGACAAATTTTGTCTTTCTCGATGTGTCTATTGATTGATGATTCACTGGAATGCCAAGCTTCTAAAAATTCTCTAGCATTCTTGGTGTTTCCTCTGTCTAATATTTGAAAGTTGGTTGTCCCAGTCGAATTGATGTCCATGGTTGTCTGCATGTAGTGATATGAGGGAGTGGATATCATGTCTTTTGACGGCTAGCTTATGTTCGTGGATACGAAGACGAAGGGGACGTCCTTTCCTTGTAACCGGAAAGTCCAAGGTTTGGACCCTAGTGGCGGTGGGTGTTTTTTTTGGCTTCCGTCGTTTTCAGTGCACACAGAGTGAAGAGGAAGTGAAGAGCCATTAAGTAGAGGAGTTGCACTAGTAGAAGGAAAGCAAGATAATAGAGATGAAGATGAAGACAAAGGTGAGTGAGGAATAGAGAGGTTTCGCGTGCACTTCGGATTGTGAGGGCGATTGTTACTTCCCGGCTGCCCACACCGTGGAAGTCGATTGCGTGACCGCAGAGCCCAGGGGACAACTGCTTGAGGCCAGTCACATACGGCCTGCTTTTGTTTGTTTTTCATTTGGTGTGTCTCAGTAGCACACTTATCACTTCTGCCCTGTGACACGGCAGCAGAAAGCGCGGTCGTTGTTAATCCGGGCCCCGACCGATCCGGTGTGATATTTTATGATTTATTTGGAGTCATAGGATTGGATTGGGTAACTACTTTTAGTCTAACCGCTATCCAAACAACCTTTCTGGCATGGTAGGACCTACAGGAACATAAGTTCCAGCCAGTATAGCTTGTTGGGTCATTGCGGTGTTCAAGCCCGACCACCACGTCAAGGTAGCAGCTTTCGGTCGGTGTGTGTACTGTCGAAAAGTTCCATATTGGGACGAAACAGCTATTTAGTACTCCTAGCTGGTTTTAGTGATCTTCTAACTGATCTCAATCTACGATTAAACTTAAACCAAATCAGACCCCAAACATTCTTAATTCTTGAAAAGATAAAAATACACTGAAGAATAACTATGAGTATAACTCACCTCAATTAAACATTGAAATTGATTATAATTTAGTGACAAATGTTCACTTAAATCTCTTGAACTATATTTATTACTAATAAATCCTAGTGGATCAGCAATTGTCGAATGAATTTCATTCGATTTTTCTTGTTTACATGAAGATGTTAGAGGAGGTTCAGAGGAATTATTTTCTTTAGTAATTGTATTACTGTAGCTAATACTACTACAACTACTACTACCACCAATATTTTCATTCTGATTCTCAACTGACTGTTGATCATATTCTTCAGCAATTAAATCTGTCCCGATTTCAACTGTATCAAAATCAGATTTCGAATAGATTTGATAACTACTAGTAGTGCTTGTATCACATGAATGCGAATTCACACTATCCTTTTCATCATTTTGTTCAGTTGATGGAATATTATGACTAGGTGAAAATGATGGTGTTGATAGGATGAAATTCCATTTGCAATCATTTAATTTATTGTCAGATTGTAGCCAATACGGTGGACGATGTAATAAGAATAACAGGCGTAGTTTTGTGTTTATATCATGACCGCATATACATCGCATTAACCAGACAAAACTCTGTGAAAAAGGAAAGGGAATTAAGGGGGAGTGAGGGAAATGCATTACAACGATATTAAACATAAATTTAATGGATTTAAGATATAAATATACAAGTAAAATACATGTATCTCTAGATTCCCTGCACATGTTCTCTTGACCAAGACAGCTATGAAAGGACGATACAGCTGTCCAGTACTCCCTGCAGGTTTTCCAATGGTCCTCTAACCGATGTCAGCTCATGATGAAATCCTGTAACCAATCAATCAAATCCCTACAAACCAATACTTGAATAAGGAATTCTTTGTTTCATTGTCAATCAATCCGCGCAGATTAAATAATCAATTCAGATGGTATAACTTTTAAGCTTGTTCAACCCATAAAGCTTCAAGCTAGACCGCCTTGCTTACTAACTATTTAACTTATTGTTATAATAACAATAAGTTATACAACATAAGCTGCAGTAATACTTAGAACCGAAAGTCATACCCTAACATAAAGCTCACCAGTATGATTGTGGATTGTTTCCAACAGTCTCGGTGGACATATTGAAGCATCTCATATGCTAAATTAGTTAGCGTGCTGGTGAAGAGTCCTAAACAGGGACGAAATAGATGTTCAGTACTCCCAGTTTTCCAATGGTTCTCTAACCGATGTCAGCTCATGATGAAATCTCGTAATTAATGGAATCAAATCCCTGCAAACCAACACTTCAATATCAGCCAGATGCTCACTAGCAACTACTGGTCCAATTCAGGTAGATAGTTACCTCGGCCGGAGTGGGGATTTGTAACCAGTGGTGGTAGAGCAGGTCGAGTGTGAGGACAGATGCTTACCGATGACATTGGCTAGTGGTCGCGATATATACTGAGTTGGCACAATTTAGAATTCATGGGCCTTTGGATCATGGTCTACAAGCTCACCTGGTAACTTTAAGGTCCTGGGTTCAAACCCCACTGGATGTGTGCTGTCGAAGAGACCCAAACTAGTTTGACGAAACAGCTGTCCACTACTCTTTGCTGGTTTTCCAATGGTTCTCTAACCGATGTCAGCTCATAATGAAATCCTTTAACCAAAAATGATTTTATTTAATTTGTTGGGTGTTAGCTTCATTCTTAGAGGCTTACTCCTCGCTGAAGCGTCGTAATCCATGCTACCCTGAGACTTTACTTTTTATGCGTCAGTGGTTTAGGAGTAGAATGCCCACCAGCCCCACAAGTGATCCGTGGTTGGATTCCCGACGGACACACTCCCAGACCTCACTTAATCGGCAGTAAGCCCCAGTAGAGGCAGAAGGTTGGGCATGAGGCTAGCGACCCCACCCAGTAAAAGCAACACAAGCTCTATTGAAACTTCAAAAGCTTAGGGAGCTTTTTTTATTATCGTTTGATTCCATACAGTATTTTGGTACAAGTATGGAATTTTCAGCATGTGATATCGGTAGCGCAAATTTAGCAGGCCGACTATTGATATCAGGTGTAGCGTCGGCCAGGGATCGAATCCCGGACTATGTGCATGGTCGGTGAGCGTCCTAACTGCTGTGCCATCGACGCACATATTCGCCTGTGAACAGGAAGGAGTGGAAAAAATATGCCAGTCTAGTTTTTTAAATACTATAAGTATACTATTCCACTTACCTTAAAGTTGATTAAGTTATCTTCATCTTCATCGAGTAGACGAAAACATGGAAAGCACAAGTGTGGTGCAACAGTACCCCATGGAACTAATCCACGAAATAAACTGCTAAACTGATGTGCATCAATACGATGAACATCATAGGCTGGACGATTAGGATTATTTGTATCATTGTGTGTAATTGCTGGTGCTGTTTGATGCATTCTTTCATATCTTGAAAGAATATAATGATCCTATGACAAAAGACAAAACAAAACAGAAACATTGTAGAAAAATATTAGGAATGACTTATGTGCAAGGTAAATTCATTCTGAGAGTAAATCTTCAACCAAGATACATACATATCCACCAAACTTTCCTTGACAAAAACATGAAACTAAAACTTCACATCGTTTGAGCTAAACAGTAGGAAGCTTCACACGAAGATTGATTTCAAGGGTGACTTAATTCATGATATCTTTGACAAAAGAATTTCAACATATTTTGAGAAGAACATTCTTTGCAAACGAGCAAAGAGCAATGTCCTTCACTCGCCCGGGGATCTGTAGAAGTATGAAAAAGAAAGATCTAGAGTTTCACTATTTCTGCGTACTACATCAGTTCGCTTGCTTCTATGGAGTCAAGTATGTCGGTTGTTCGACAGGTTCAAGAACACTATCCTACAGCGCTTTTATAATCAGCGTAATATTCGAACACAATGTCGACACTGGCCACTCAAACTCAACAAAATCCTCTTTCAGAGTGGTCCACAAAGGAAGGAAAATACGCGTTAGTCTCATTTGCATTCTTAAAGCAATGTATCATAGTGATCATATTGCTATCTATGTGATTTTTTAGCTTTTCCTAAATTATACATCCTTGGTAAGTCACTAAAAGGATTTCCAACAGGTTGTTTCAGACTTATATCAACAGCCAGCCAAGCGGGTGGCTGTCTCTACAATGAAGACCAAATGGCCGGCAAGCCAGCCAGCCAGAAAGAATTAGCAACAAGAAACACTGGCTAGCAACAAACAAACCAAGAGCCCATTGCTCAAAAATTATGTAGGAGAAAATGAAGATGGATCGGGCATATGTTGAGGAGCCCTAAGAATGACATCACGAGCAATGCAGGCTATCATTCTAATGGAATCCCAATGGGAAGCGACGAGTGGATAGTCAGTGCGGGGGTGACATGGAGGAGATTGTGTGAGGAGGTGAGACACTATGGGCATTCGTCAACCCAGCTGAAGAGGATGGTAGAAAATAGAACAAAGTGAAGATTTTATTGGACACTAGTACCTAGTGCGACGTGTCTAGTCCTTTCTTTGGTGCAGACTGAATTCTATCAGTTAGGTTTGCAATGTGGCCACCAATCTAGGTAGCTCACCATCACGAAACACATTGATTTGATGATATTACATGGTTGGATGCAATCGACAGGAAGCCACGTCTGACTTAGGTTTCGTACTAGTTGGCACTCGTCAGCAAGGCGTACCTGCAACTTTGAAGGAACTCAGGTCCCTTCTGAGATTCGAACCCACATCACCCAGTGTGGCAGTCAGAGACATTACCACATTTCAAACCTGAATGATAGAATTCAGTCTGCACCAAACACCACACTAGTCACAAGTGTCCAATTCAAGTATCCACTACAGTCCCACAGGAGGTGAATCGCGAGTCCAAATAACTCAATGTTAACGTCTCTGACTTCAGCACTAGGTGACACGGGTTCGAATCTCAGAAGGGACATGAGTTCCTTCAAGGTTACAGATAAGCCTTACTGACTGGTGAGTGCCAACTAGCACGAAACCTAGGTCCAATGCTTCCTGCCGATTGCCACCAAGTACCTAAAGTGAAGATTTGTTGTTGAAGCCCTATGTTCTACTCGGAACCCAAGGGAATAATAAGAAATAATAATAATTTATCCTTTCAGCTTTTACGAGAACTAACTCGATGAAAGAATTTGCCGATAATCGATAATTTTCACCACCATTTTGTATTGACTGATGGGCGAAAAAAAGCCCAACGAGATAAATATAAAGGAAGTCACCTATTTCACTTATCTAGGCAGCATCATGCTAACTAAAGGCAACTGAACGGATGAGAATATCAAAGACAGTCAATAAAGGGAAAGCAAGATAGACCCGACCGAAAGCTGCTACCTTGACGTGGTGGTCGGGCTTGAACACCGCAATGACCCAAAAAGCTATACTGGCTGGAACTTATGTTCCTGCAGGTCCTACCATGCCAGAAAGGTTGTTTGGATAGCGATTAGAGTAAAAGCAGTTACCCAATCCAATCCTATGACCTCAAATAAATCACAAAATATCATGCCGGATCGGTCGGGGCCCGGATTAACAACGACCGCGCTTTCTGCTAGCGTGTCACAGGGCAGAAGTGATAAATACGCTACTGAGACACACCAAATGAAAAACAACAAACAAAAACGGGCCGTGTGTGACAGGCCTCAAGCAGTTGTCCCCTGGGCTCTGTGGTCACGCAACCAACTTCCACGGTGTGTGCAGCCGGGAAATAACAATCGCCCTCACAATCCGAAACCTCACTACTCTGGAATCAATGTGGAAATCTACTACTACTACTACAGTACTCCGTGTAAGGAACAAGGCCAGGATTTCCAACACTTCACTAAAGCCATTTCCAACAAGCTACTGTAGACTTTCACCAACAGTTGTCCTCAGTGTCTTTGACAGTGTAGAAAAAAGATGGCCAGACAAGGAACTCTGTCAGGCAGCGAATCAACCAAGAATGTATCGACAAATGAATGTGACCATCGAATGATATAACGTGCTAGGTCATAGAGTAGGACCTGAGAATGGGGGAAACGAGATGAGTTAGGTATGTGGGTCCAAAGGTGACCTAGAGGGGAAGATCGAGTGAGGGTGAGAAGAAAGCAGTTGTAGAACCAGCTAAAAAGAGATGTACAGCTGAAGCCTTATGTTCCACTTGGAATCCAAGGGAATAAATAGAAATTACTATCATTATAATAACGTTATTTGTCTAAACACTGTACATTTTACAGTAAAACAAACCCATAAAATATTCATTTTTAATTAAGCATATATGTTATACATATAGAAATAACAGTAAATATTGATTATTAAACTAATAAGTATATCATGAGCGAAACTATTATCTTACTTTCTCATTTAGAAAAAAATTTCTCTACAGCATTTAGCATGTGATACAGTTTAGATTTAATCAAATTAAATAATTATCATAAGACGAAAAATAAATAAACATATAATATAATATGCTTGCTTCACTTAACTACCTACTTCTTAGCCTTAATAATAATAACAAAATTTCTTACAAAGTATGCGAAATGTTTGAAAGTCGATTCCTAATGATTTCTCTCTCACTCTTTCTCTTTCACACACACACACACACACACACTGAGTCTTACTTTTTGCCACTTAGGTTGTTGTACGTAAAGTTTAGATAACAACTTTACCATCTAAGAAATATGAAATTAGTGTCACGCAGAGAGACAGTGACCATTAGCTTAATAAAATAGGCAGTGAAGTGATTGAGTGTGCTGATCACTTCAGCCCTAATCGACTAATTGCTGACGAGAATCTCAGCATGAATGCAAAAGGCTGGTGTGGCATTCGCCAATTGAAGTCATCTCTGACGTAGACATGATATGCGGTTATCTATCAAAAGGACGTTTGCAGTTCGCAGTCCTTCTTTATAGATGTGAGACATGGCCATTTTGAAAGTGGAAGAAATGAAAAGGACATCTGTCTTTGACCAGAGATGTTTGCGTCTCCTATCCCATGTTAAATGGTGTAATATGGTGAGCAATATATTGAGGTTAAGCGTCGAGTTCTAGGTGAGGAAGGGAACTCAATCGATAAGGTTGTGAAGATACATCGATCGAGATGGCTAGGACGCGTGTTACGCACACTGAGCCATCGCCTCCCTCATCAAGTAACATTTTCTGATATCAGATCAGGTTGGAAAAGAGTTTGAGGCGGTCGAATCAAAACATGGCATCAATTCCTGAAGCCTTTGACAACCAGTGGGGAGGTAGGTGGAGACTGTCTGGTTAGAGTCTCTAGGCTGCTAAAATCCAATGGCTGGAGACCATTGGTGATACAGCTTAGAATTGTTCTCAATGGGGCGGATGCATTCAATGTCTATGATCACCTATATGTATTAAACCATGATGTTTTACACGTTACTATTCATTCTCCCGTACATTTCTTCTCACTAGGGTTCTTTAGAATGTCTTTTGGCACTGTTTTCTCTACCTTTGTTTGTTACATGGAATGTGACAACTTGAACTGTTGCAGTTCTGTGAAGTTCTATGTTAAAACTCAATCAGTTAGTGACGTTGACCAACCTACTTCAAGAGTAATGGCCAATGTACTAAATGCACGTGTGACAGCACTAGTCTAAAAGTGAAAGTACAAGAAGACCCTTCTTAGGATTCTTAGTATAGGGTAAGAAGGGTAACTCAATAGATGAGATTTATCATTCTTCAGGATACTAATTTCGGAGACAATTATAAGTGTGAGATTAATATTCAAATTTCCGGTTTAGATTGAATGGATAACCTGAAGTTGCCATGAGAATTTGTGGCGCCAGTGGGAACCACCGCATTTGACGTGGAGTGGATGCTATGTCACAAACTCATTCATAGGCGTTAGAATTTACAGTTCAATGGATTCTAACCAAGTGGATAAATGATCAGCTGTCTCCACGTGTAACCAGTTTCATCTCTCGTGGGGTTCTGGGTTCACAATTGCGAAAAAGCACCAGTTCAGTGAACTCTGATTTTCAGTAATCCTCTAACTGATACCCAAAATTGATTAGATTCTTACAAACCTAAAATATGAAAAGGTTGGTAACTGAAACTACATTAAGATTTAGTCAGTGATTGGGGTTTCGTAGTCCAATTAGCAGAATAACAGGCTGGCAGTTAGAAGATTGTTAAAACTTCTAACCTTACTGCCATCCACGTTTGTCTTTCAACTCGAATCAACACCTTCACTATATTAAATTGGGCTATAAAATTATTTGGGTTCCGGAATAAACAATTACACACCATTAATTTCTTTGTTAATACGTGAACCTGACATTCCCCGTTGAGTAATTATGTTAGACAGAAATGCTCGACCTCCGTTAACATATCAGCTCCTGATACGGACTCTTCATCGATGTCTAAGAATTAAAGTTGAAGCGATCCCATTAGAAGCGGACACATGGTCAGAGATCAAATTCATCAGATCGGCCTAGAAACTTTTGCACAAGAGGTGACTCCCGTGGCTTAATTGTCTGTCTGTTTTCGACATACAACTTTGCACATATGTGCGTCAGTTCAAGTCGCCACACTCCATGTACCACTCAAAGCAAGAGAAGAAAGTAGAAGAAATGCATAATATAGTCAGTAAACAGAGGTGTGAGACAAAGGAATAATAATAACGAAGAACAAAACAGTTTAATTGGAAATCATAAGTCACAAGGAGTGGATGCATCTGCGTCTGCCATTGAGAACGATTTTGAGCCATGTCACCAATTGTTTCCAACCATTGGTTTTTACCGTCCCGAGGACCCCAACCAGGAAGTCTACACCTTCCTACGTGGCTGACTTAAACTAACTGTTGTGGATTTCATTGACTGATGAAGCCATGTTTTGGTTTGACCTCCGCTAGCTCTTTTCCAGCCTGACTCTATGTCAGCTAACATTGCCGATTGTCGAGGAAGGTGATCGATGATTAGACATACGTGACACATGTCCTAACCATCTCAGTCGATGTAACTTCACAGTTTCGTCGACTGATTTCCCCTCCTTACCTAGCACTCGAAGCGTAAACTCAATATTGCTCACCTAATTATACCACTTCATGCGGGAGATAGAACGCAGACACCTATGATCGAAGACAGCTAATCTTTTCATGTCTTCTACTCTTAATGTCCAGGTCTCACAGCCATAAAGGAGGACGGAGCGGACTGCTGAGCAGTACGCCCGCCCTTTGATCGATAGCCGGATATCACATGTACCCCAGAGACGGCGTAAACTGGCATATGCGAAACTAGCCCTCTGTATCCGTACTGAGATTTCGTCAGAGATCGACCAGTTGGGACTGATGGTACTTCCCAAATAAGTGAAGCGATCAACGTGCTCTACCACTTCACTCCCAATTTCTAAACTTAATTAGATAATGTTTTAGCATTTGAAACGATTGGTAAGAACACCACTCACCCACTCACTGGGAATGTAAGTACATCTACTAGTTGAGGAGTCCCAAACAAGACGAAATGAGCAGTCAGAACTCTACTGCTAGTCAACACCAACCAAAATAACAATAACTTTTTCTTATTTATCATAAACAACAACAACTATACAACAACAACAAAAGACATAGTAAAGATGCAAAAATAAAAAATAAAATAAAAACATTCTAAAAACAACATACTCTGTAACACTCAAACAATGGTATTAAATCTCCTGGAGGTTCACGTTCCATACTACGCATAACTTCTTTTGAAGTATAATCACTAAGTGATTGAATTACTTTAGGTCGACATTGTAAACGCATTCTATCAATTAATTCATTAGATATATTAAAATTACGATCAGCTGATGCTAACAATTTATGTATAGGTTCATACAACGATGACATAAGAGTAGGATTAGACGAATTTGTTGTTGTTGTTGTTGTCGTTGAATATTTTTGTCTATTATTATTATTGTTATTATTATTTTGATCATTTTTATCAATAATATTTAATGAAGATGTCGATGATGTAGTAGTAGGTGCATTCTTCTCATTTGTATTATCTTGATGACGTAATTGTTCAAAATAAGTTGTGAGATGAGTTAATACACAACTATCATCATCACTTCCAACAGCTTTCATTATAATTGATGTATGCTGACGTAGTACTTCTAAGGCAATTTGAAAAATGGCCTATTAAAGTGGAAAAAATAAACAAGGTATCTGATATATACTACTACTACTACTACTACTACTAAATATACTCTCAAAAATAAAATAAAAAATATTGTACTCAACAACCATTTATGCTTCCCCATGCAGTTGACAATTAGATTTACCTAATGTGTGTTTAAAGTTATAATATCCGGCTGCCCATAACTGCGTAGGTGAGGCGAGATTTGAAACTGTAACACTGACTACATCGAAGTGAAGCACTATAGCACTTTATAGCTGTGAGACCTGGTCACTGAGAGTGGAAGACATGAAAAGATTAGCTGTCTTTGATCATAGGTGTCCGCGTTCTATCTCCCGTGTGAAGTGGTATAATAAGGTGAACAATATTGAGGTTAGGCGTCGAGTGCTAGGTAAAGAGGGGAAATCAATCCGCGAGGCTGGGAAGTTACATCTGTTGAGATGGTTAACACATATGTTACGTATGTCTAGCCATCGTCTTACTCGGCGGGCAATGTTAGTTGACATAGGGTCATACTGGAAAATAGCTAGTGGTAGTCAAACCAAAACAGGGCACCAGTCAATGAAATCCACAACAGTTGGTTTAAGCCAGCCACGTAGGAAGATGTAGACTTCCTGACTGGTTGGGGTTCTCGGGACGGTAAAAACCACTGGCTGAAAACAATTGGTGATATGGCTCAAAATTGTTCTCAATGGCTGGCGCAGATGCATCCACTCCTCGTGACTTATAATTTTCAATGAAACTATATTGTTCTTCGTTATTACTATTCCTTTGTCTCACACCTCTGTTTACTGACTATATTATGCATTTCTTCTGCTTTCTTCTCTTGCTCTGTGTGCTACAAGGAGGGAGTGTGGCGACTTGAACTGAAGCACATATGTGCAAAGTTCCATGTAAAAAAAAACAGACGTTATATACTACTAACATTCGCATAACATTAGCCTATACAATTTTACGAACTTATGGTGTCGTTGTCTTTCTTAATATTGAACTCTTAAATGGCTATTAACTCTTTGATAAACTTGTCAGTGAATTTAGTGTTTATCAAAGTCAGCAGTGAACTTAACACTTTCAACTCTCAGTAATTAGCATTCTTCATAGTAATTTTTGTGGTGGTTGACCTTGTGAATAGAGGTTATAGATGTTGTTCTTCGATTTGTTAGATTCGTATCGGTCACACTGTGTTAGGCAGGATCAGCTCAGGGTGGGTAGACTTCAGTCTACCTGTCCAAATGCTATCGTATGGCGACACCTTCACAGCGTACACCTCTGCATGGTGAGTCCTATTCACTGTCTTCACGCCACGCCTGGAGTGTTCCTCACAGAACTGAAACGGTGAATGCGAACCTCTGGTGCTTACAACAGCGCTGGTGGATAAGCTGAAGAACCCTGATTCCGAACCTGTGGGCTTCAGAATCAGGACGGATTAAATGGTGTGTGAACCTAATTTGGTCATCGACAACCATGGGAACGTAGCTCCTGACGCTGCCCCACTGCCTTGTGGATAAGACTTCAAGTCAAAGACTAGGCGGTGGTCCATTGAGCTAACCACCTTGCTTCGGTCTGAGCGTCTCAGCCCTCGTGCAAGCCACAAGATTTTTTGTAGAGCATCTCCTAGTGACCATAATGTACCGAAGTTTGTATTTAAATATTAACAATAATCTTAGGTAGTATTATCGTGAGAGCTGGCTACAAAACAAAATTGTAGATAGCAATTTACGTCCCGAATCATGGTCATGAGAAAAAACAATAACAGAACTTAACCTTGAGGAACTCAACAACCAATCACAGAAGAATTAACGTGTGCAAATACGACTCGCAGATTTATGGCTTAACTTTCTAAGAAACGATCACGGGCAGTACAGAATAACCTTCAGCAAGAAAACAACCAATCAGGAGACGTTGCTTCTCTGCTAACAATAACGCCGATAATAATGTACATAAAAATCTATGAATATCCCTTGATTTTCTGAATAAACGATCAGTTGCCTAGCCCTTGTCTTCTGTCATTGCAGTATTACCAGTCATATCGATATTATAGTAACTATCAAAATAAGTATTATAGATTCTACTACTACTACTAATAATAATAATAACAATTTTTGCTTTATTCCAAAAACAGTACTAATGATACAGCAAGGAATTTTCAGCATTCAGTACAATATTGCACCTAATTTACTCAAAAACGACAAAAAAACGAAACAAAAATATAAAAAGAATAAACATTACATAATAATGATAACAAAACGTAGCTATTTAGCAAATTACTGTATCCAATACGGAGAAAAATATGCATAAAGTATAAAATTATAGTAATAATAGTAATAACAACTAAAATAAAAATAGCAGTTATAATTAAACGATAGAAAGGGTGACACCATAGAATTACAGAAAGATGAACAATGAAAGGGTCGATTCACTTTGCTAATTACATAGTAACTTATATGTTTCACGTCTAACAGAGTCTTCATCACATAAAATACGGGCTAAATACGGTATTGTAGAATTTTTGTACTTAGTGGTACGAGCATATAACTTTTTATATTGACTTCTCGTCCTACCTGATGAGATACAAGGGGAAAGTTGTGGATAAAGGGGGTGCAGAGGGTCTGACAGTACGACCTTTGCCCACTTTGTACAGGAATTTATGTGTCTCTCGACTATAGTATTGGCGAGCTCACGCAGTGGCAAACCACAAGCCCTACTCACAACATTTAATACCCTTCGTAATATGACATAGTCTTTTTTAAGAAGCCCAGGAAAGATTAATGGAGAACAATAGAGTACAATAGGTAAAATACAGGAGTTTAAAAATTGCAGAACTAAAAGTTGGTTGATACCTGATTGACTTAACTTTTTAATGTAGAAGGTAAGACGAAACATTTTCTTAGAGATTGATAAGATGTGGGATGACCATGAAAGGTCAGAGGAAAGAACTAATCCAAGGTATTTAATGCTTGACTTGGTTTCAATTTCAGTGCCGTCTATGCTACAGGCATCATGGGAACTAACTAGTTCATGTATGTAGGCGATTTGACTGAGCCTAAGTTGATCTCCACAAGGAAATAAATCAGTTAGAGGGAACATTGAGAAAATCAAGAAGCTATGAATGAATGTTTTTTCGTAGTTTGTAACTCCTGATATAAATGGCAATGCATATGCATTGAAACTAGACAATACTGAGTTCGGTCTTATCGCGAGGTTATAATATTCCGCTGTTTGTGTAAGGGGTTATAGGTGGAAAACTACTACTATTACATAACCCTGAACTACACTGAAAAACATTTTTCAGTAGATCTTAGATTCAAACCTTTGCCTAGCTAATATCCTTCAGTGGAAGATGAAAATCTCGACTACTAAACTGGGTACAAGAGATTAAATAGAAACTCAGCTGATCTAAACACTTCCACATATAACAACTCAGATTCCATATACTAATCGACAAAAGTGTTCTTGTGATGTAAATGCATCTTATAAGAATACTTAAAAATAAGTGGGAATCATGAACATACATTAAGATATACTTAACATCACAGTTATCATGAGATAACCTACCCGAGCACCACCGTAGAAGAAAAAATCCAACACGTATACAGCACACTTGAAAGGCATAGTACTATTGAAAATAAATAACAGACAGAAAGAGACATGAATTTATTAGAATCATGCCTAATCATGCATCACTCAATGAAAAATGATAAAACTAAACTTTTGCAGTTAGTAATGTTCTCTGAGCTGGTTGTTTCAGTTGCGGAGCTTTCGTAGTCCCCCTTCCAGACAACATCTTCAGCGTAATTTTTAGCATAAAGTGAACTAACTTAAATTGTAGGGCTTTGATTGATTGGTTACAGGGTTTCATTATGAGCTGGCATTGGTTAGAGAACCATTGGAAAACCTGCAGGGAGTACTGGAAAGCTGTTTCGTCCTAGTTTAGGTCTCTTCATCAGCATACGCCCATTGGGGTTCGAACCCAGGACCTTCTGGTTACAAGGCGAGCTCGTTGACCGTTGAGCCCCTGGGACCCGATCCATGAGTGATAGAATTGTGTTTCCCGTCGTTTTTTATTGATTCGGATTTCAAACTTTCTCGTCACATGATTTATTTTCTATCAGTTGGTATATTTGGTCTATATTAACATGTTTGTTAATCACATATTCGTTTGAGTACCAGACTTCTAGGAATTCCCTGGCATTTTTGGTGTTTCTTCTGTCTAAAATTTAGAGACTATCCCAATCAAACTGATGTCCGTAATTATCTGTATATGCATTGATATGTGCTCCTGGATTCTGATTCGAAGGGGATGCCCGCAACTAAAACAACCAGCTTAGAGAACATTACTAATTGCAAATCATCCCCACCTGAGCTACAAATCTTCTTTACTATTTCAAAAACTAGACTTTCATAATACAAAACACAATAGGGGAGAAGTATAGTGTAATGCGTTGAAGTTTGAAAAAATATCAGTGTAACCAACAAGGACCAATCCATAAAAGAAGATTTACGTTTGTTAACAAAACAACACCGACAATGCACCCCACAACGCTACTTTATTCTATGCAATAGAACAAAAACAAAGTGCACAATTTAACAAATATGCACTATTTTAAATACTTACTTGAGAAATAAGGTTAAAAACCAGCTTAAAGGTAGCATACTAATTAGTTCTGAACCTAAAGATCGAATCATAGGTGGACTAAATCCTGTTCCTGATGATCCACCAACACCGTCATATAAAGCAGAAGAAGACGAAGAATAACCATGCTCAGGAGTTGAAGTTGAAGTATTTTTCAGTCTTCCTGAATCATACTTCATGCTGTCTTGTGTGGATGTATGTAAAATCGGCTTTAATTCTGGGATATATTCAACAACCAAATCATGAAATACTTGTTGATCAACACGTACACCAGCTACACGACTATCATAATAATCAGGTAGCAGGCGTTCACAAATTGCTGTCAGCAACCAAAAGGATTCTTCTTCTGTACTATAGAGTAATAGAACACTGGCTACTATATTCATTGATTGACAGTAGCCTTTGAAAAAAAAACAAGAGGAAGAAGAAAGGAAAGATTAACTTAATTAATACAAAATATGATTATTAATCACATTTAATAATTACAAGAAGACATGAAAAGACTAGCTGTCTTTGATCATAGGTGCCTGCGGTGTATCTCCCGTGTGAAGTGGTATAATAAGGTGAGCAATATTGAGGTTAGGCGTCGGTCGAGCGCTAGGTAAGGAGGAGAAATCAATAGACGAGGCTGGGAAGTTACATCGACTGAGATAATTAAGACATATGTTACGTATGTCTAGCCATCGCCTTACTCGACGGGCAATGTTAGCTGACATAGGGTCAGGCTGGAAAACAGCTAGCGGCGGTCAAACCAAAACATGGCACCAGTCAATAAAATCTACAACAGTTAGTTTAAGCCACGTAGGAAGGTGTAGACTTCCTGAATGGTTGGGGTCCTTGGGACGGTAAAAACCAATGGTTGGAAACAATTGGTGACATGGCTCAAAGTCGTTCTCAATGGCTGGTGCAGATGCATCCACTCCTCGTGACTTATAATTTCCAATGAAACTATACTGTTCTACGTTATTACTATTCCTCTGTTTACTGTCTCTAATATGCATTTATCCTACTTTCTTCTCTTGCTTTGTGTGCTGCATGGAGTGTGGCAACTTGAACCGCCGCACATAAGTGCAAAGTTCTATGTCGAAAACAGACAGACAGACAATAATTAAGAGAATAACTTTTTTCAAGACAAGAACGAAATACATACCAGGATATTTTCTTTCCCTTGCGCCCCAAGTAGAACACAGGGTTTTAAGCTTTAAGCAGTGTTATTTGTACGGGGTGGAGTTGGTAGCCTCACGCTCAACCGTCCTTCTTTACGGGGTTAACGACTGGCTAAGCCAGCAGTAGGAGTGCACTGAGGCAGAGGTCGAACCAAGTACTCTACCACTGAACCAATGATGCACAGGATATGCGGAGAATTACTGTCCACATCTCTTTGAATGCATGCTAAAGAACCCGAGAATAAACAGGCTAGAGGCATTGAACAGTGCGACTTAGCATCATCTATTGGACACTGAGCATACAAACTGTGGACAATAAGAAGATGCTCAAAATACTTAACAAGTAAAACAAACTTAGCTGCTGAGTTTTGCTTAGGTAATCGGCATCAAAACAGTTACAATCAAATCTACATATTCATAAAAAGACAGTGATGAAGTTTGCACTACTACAATCTTAGTGAAGAAACTTGCAAAACAAAGTTACGCAATTCTTATTACATCAAGCATCCTCCTCTTACATCTTTTCAATTCCATTTAGGGAAATTTTTACTATTTCATTTGAAATTTACGGCTGCCTTCCCTTCATACTAAAGATCAGATGGCCGGCCAGAAAGAATTAGCGACACAAAACTATGGGAACGAATCGATCAAGAACCATTTGTTTAATAAATATTCCGAGTCGACTAATGGGTGAGTGTACTGCTCAGTAGTTTGCTCCATCCTCTTTTACAACTGTGAGCGGGACATGGTCATGGAAGACATGAAAAGACTGGCGAGCTGTCTTTGATCATAGGTGTCTGCGTTCTATCTTCCGTGTGAAGTGGTATAAAAGGGTGAGCAATACTGAGTGACTGGATAATGCGAAAGACAGCGGGCAATGAGGAAACAGGCATAAAATGGACCCACAAAAAATCACTTGGAGGATCTGGACTTCGCCGATGATATATGTCTCATTTCCCACAAACTGGAAGATATGCAAACGAAAAGCAACAAGTTGGCAGAAGAAGCATCAAAGACAGGCCTTTAGGTGAACATAAAGAAATCAGAGGTGATGAACATTCCTGGCCAACACCAACAGCAACAACAACAACAGACAACAATCATCATAAATGGGAGGAACCTGAAAGAAACTACCTCCTTTACCTACCTGGGAAGCATCCTTTCAACTACAGGCGGATAGAACTGACGAGGATATCAAAGCAAGGATCGGGAAAGCAAGGCAAGCTTTCATTACTCTCAAGTTTGTTTGGAGGTCAACAGCACTCAACATCAAAAATAAGATCCGGATTTTCAACTCCAATGTAAAGTCAGTGCTACTATACGGACCAGAGACTTGACGCTTCATAAAGAGCACCTCAAACAAACTACAAACCTTCATTAACAGTTGTCTTCGCTCAATACTCAAGATCAGATGGCCAGAAAAGATCAGTAACAGAGATCTCTAGTAATGAGCGAACCAACCAGGAACCGATTGTGAAACAAATAGGCAGGAAGAAATGGAGATGGATTGGCCATACTGTGAGGAAACCATCAAGTGACATCACTAGACAAGCCACTGCTCGAGTGAAACCCGAAAGGGAAGCGGCGAGTTGGTCGTCAGTGGGAGGGTAACTTGGAGGAGGTCATGTGAAGAGTAGATGAAAACGTGTGGGCAGACTTGGAGCCAGGTGAAAACTCTAGCAGAGAACCGAACGCAATGGAGACGCGCGGCTGAAGCCCTATGTTCCTCTAGGAATTAAAGGAAAAAATAATAATATTGAGTGTAAGCTTCGATCGAGTGCTAGGTACGGAGAGGAAATCGATTGCCCAGGTTGTTAAGTTACACCGATTGAAATGGTTTGGACATATGTTACACATGCCTAGCCATTGATCACCTTCCTCGACAACAGGCCACGTTAGCTGACATAGACTCAGGCTGGAAAAGAGCCAGTGATGGTCAAACCAAAACATGGCTTTACCAGTCAATGAAATCCACAACAGTTAGTTTATGCCAGCCATGTAGGGAGATGGAGACTTCCTGACTGACTGGTTGGGGCCCTGGGGATGGTAAAAACGAATGAAGATTGGAGACAATTGGTGATATGGCTCAAAATCGTTCTTAATGGCTGGCGCAGATGGATCTACTTCTTAGCACTTATAATACCCAATAAAACTATATTGTTCTTCGATATTACTATTCTTTTTGCCTCACATCTCTTTTTACTGTCTCTGTTTTGCATTTCTTTTTACTTTCTTCTCTTGCTTTGTGTGTTAGATGGAGTGTGGCGACTTAAACTGCTGCACATCGATGCAAAGTTCTATGTTGAAATCAGTCAGTCAAATATTCCGAAACAAACGGAGAGACTGTTGGGTAAAATCGCGCGCCAGGCAAACCCTTGAATGGAAGCCGAATGGGAAACGACGAGTTGGATGTCAGTCTAAGAGTGACATGAAGGAGATTGTACGGGGAGGAGGAGGAGGAGGAGGCAGAGATGAGAGTTTATGGGCAATTGTGTAGCCAGCTAAAGGGGACTGAGGAGAACAGGACAAAATGGCGATGTTCTGTTGAAGCCCTATATGTTCCACTATGAACCCAAGGGAATAATGAAAATAATAACATAATGAAATCGGGAAAAAAACAAATCAAGACAGTAGATGACACCCTCTCCATCAGACCTGATTTGAATCACTTAAATAAATAACCTTTTATAACAATGAGATAGTGAAAAATTGAAGTTCTAGTGCACTTTTGCATACATATTTTTATTACATATATACATATTTTGTTAAATCAGGTGACCAAAACCTGAAGTAGTACTATTGACGAAAAACGCGATAGTCAAGATGCAAATCAATAAACCCACATATACACGCACACGCACACACACACAAATAACTCACCTACACTAGGATTACGATAAGCATAGGCTGTTAGCACTCGCCGAAGTGATTCAATACCTTCCGGAGTATGATAAGCAGGATGCTCTGGGAACGACCGATACAGATCTCGTTCAATTTCTTCACTTACAAAATTATTACAGCCTTGAATACCTTTAATTAACTTATCATAATAACCTGGATTGGCATACATCTAAATGTAAAAACCAAAAATAGAACAAAAGAATATAATCAATAACAGTGAACAGAAATGACGTAACAATAACACCGAAAAAATAGTGGTATAATTATTAAGTGTGTAAAGCACTGATGAATAGAATTCATAACACCCTTAATTTGATCATATTCTATACAAGATAAAACCGCGGGAAAAAAAGTGGATAAGTTATCTACAGCTTACTGGCACAGTTAGCTTGTGTATCAGTCAGTATCACTCCAGCAAAACTAGTCACATGTACAAAATACCATATGATAACATTGGGATGTTCTGAATTCGATAGTGAAGTAGAATACAACAAGTCCAATGAAGACTACAGTACAATTTTTGAAGTGAATAAATTCAGAAAAAGAGCAGAATGATAACAAAAAAGTAGTTAGTATGATTAATGATGGAAGTTTAGTCTAGTCTTAGACTAACTGAGAAAAATGATAGGACTGATTCCAAGTTTTGGTTTGACCACTACTAACTCTTCTCTAACCTGATCCTGCATGTCAGCTAACATTTCCTGTTATCGAGGAAGCTGGTGGCTCGGTATGCATAACATGTATCCATCTCAGTCGATGCAGCTTCACAACCTGGTTGATTGACTTGCTCTCCTTACTTAACACTACGCCTAACGTCAATATTACCTGCTTTCAATGACCATGTCTCACAGCCACAGAGAACTGCTGCTCAGTACACACGTCATTTAATCAACAGCCGGTCTGAAACCACGTCTGCATCAGAAATGGTTTAAGTTGGCAAATGTCACACCAGCCATTTTGTATTCGTGCTGAAATTTCGTCAACAACCAATTCATTACGACTAAAATGCAACTTCGTAAATAAGTGAAGTGGTCAACATCGCTCTACTACTACACTCCCTATCTTTAAACTAGGAGTAAGTCGATGTAGTCCATTCGTGAAGCATCATTTGACATCATCAACATTTGACAGAGGGGAGAATCCCATGACAAGATTTTTCCCAGTCAAAGTATTCAGAAGACTCCGCATTTTGTCATTGTCTTCATCTAGTTGGGAGGACTATAACATCTGCATATTCTAAGTCAAGGAGACTATTATTCCCTGGTAACAAGTCCATCACTGAGTCTCTGAAGTGAGTTAGGGTTAAGTCCAGTAGTACATCTATGATGAAATTAAAGAGAAATGGAGACAGTGAACATCAGTGACGGACATCATAGGAGACTCTCACCTGGTTGCGTGATTTCGAGTAGAGTGCCTTGACCAGTGCGATGTATTTTCTCGGCATTCCCTTCACAGTCGGCCGACCAAATCGAATGCCGTTTCGAGGTCAAGAAATATGACGATTGTTGGATGGACGTCGGTAAGTATGCCTATGTTCTGGAATGGTGGAGATATGATCAATACACCCCCTTCCTGGTCTAAAGCCTGCCTAGTTCTCTCATGTTTATTTTTTCGAGTGCCGATTAGTCTACGCATTATTATTTAGTCTAGAACTTTAAATTAAATAGCACATTGGTCAAGCTAATCCCCCTGTGATTATCTCAGGAAAACTTGTCTCCCTTCTTCTATATGGGGAGAATCAATGACTTACACTAGTCCCGTAGGACTATCTCTGATTCCCAGACGCTGTCTAATACCTTAGTTAAAAAAGACAGTAAACTGTCTCCACCGTCTTTAGACACCTCTGAAGTCACTACATCAGTTCCCTCTGCTTTACCTCGTTTCACACTAGATATAGCTTTTGTAACCTCAGTTGGGGACGGAGGACCGGTGTTAATATCCCATTCAGATTCACAGTCAAATCACCAATGAGCAGCAACATTGTAAGTAAAGTTGACATCAAAACACAGAATGTCGGGTAAGCAAGAAAAGTCAATCGATTAATCTGTGACTCTCCACTGATGGTCGTAGGTAGGATATGTGTTACTCGTACTGAGTCACCACTTTTCTTGATGAGTAGTGTTATGTAAGGTAAGATTAGATAGGAAAATAGGTACGAATGAAAAAGTTGAGATATGGTGTGAATCTATAAAGTTCTTGATTATTGGTCGCAGTTACAAAAGGTGTAGGCCACTTGAGTGAAGCCTTTAGGATGAATCCAAGAATCCACCCTACTAAAGACTCTTAGATCAAAAACTCCGTTCATAATACCACAAATTTATTAACATTTTAACATTTTCTTTTTACAAAGCATTGTTGTTCAATGCATTTCTTTTCTGTTCTTTTGTGCTGTACTGTTTCAAACTGATCAACAGATGTGAACACTAGGTTTGAATTTCTGAGATACAGTACGATAACAGTTCATGTATGACAGGTATATTAACAACTAGTCTCGTCGAACAAATGCAATTCTGTAAGATGAGCATGTGATACAAGTATCCGACCTAATGCGAACACTTTTTCCTAAAAATTAAAATTATATAATCAATCAACAGGGAATAAAAATTCAATTGAATAGTGATAACTGATACCCGTTGTACAAGAAGTGACTCTCTCTCCCAGTAGTCTGGTGCTAACACCCTGGCGTTTGAAAAGACAGGTGCAGGGTTCGAGTCTCAATGAGAACACTATCAACCACTCTGCGTAAGCAATTACACCCAACTGATGAGTTGCAAACAGGACTAAATGAGCATCCTGAACCCAACTGTCAGTCAGCACCAACCAAAATAACATCATGTTAATCCCCAGACATCATCAACGTAGCCAACATGTCAACAGAGACAAAGCATTTCAGCCCAACCACAAACCATCAAAGAAAAATTTAAATTAATTTAAACAATTACGAATTATTATGTTTATGACAAGTGAGAAATTAAGTTACCTCACTTTCTGCTCCACTTAAAATCATCCATAAACGTCCACGTTTCTCTTCAGGTAATCCGCATAAAACAAGCTCCTTGAGACGTTCATTTCTTCGCATTGATACACCAGAACCATATTCTTCGAAGTATGCCTTCCAGTTATCAAGTCTCTTACTTTCAGCATCTGGATCCACTGAACCTAAACGATTCCCATGTGAATAACGACTGGCAAAGCATCCAGAAACATCTGTAAAGTGTAAAAAATAAACAAAAGTTAGGACAATATTCAAAACCCCTTGAAGGGGTTTTTTTCTAAAACAAAGTAAGGACAAATATTTGTGCAGAGTGATATGAGGTCATCACTTATTTCGTCGTCGGATTCTCTTCAACTGCTTACAACCTAGAAGTGCATTGTGTAAATGTACGCATAATTTTGTTATACTTACAAGGTTTAACATGATTTTTGTTAGCAGGGACACCTAGTAATAGCAAGTTCATGGTATCATTTGACGTAACCTCCCTATTAACAAGGATTCCAGTTCATGAAACTATCGACATTATATGACATCATTCCGAAATGCTTCCTTTGCCAGAGAAGGTATTTAAACGCCTACTACTAATGTGCATCATGCATGTACAATTTCAATTTGATAATAACCTCTATCGTCGAAAGGACGATGTAGCTATGGTCAGTCAACCAGATCCCGTACTAACAGACATCTTCATGTCTAATCTTGAGATAACAAAGCTGGAAAGTCCGATCGATGAGACAACTTTTTATTGCCCATATGTTGACGACACTTTCATATTATGCGATACTGAAAATCGTGCCTTTCATCTATTTCAACTGACTTCACAATGGCACACGAAAATGATAGAAAGTTTCATTTGTGATGATATTAGATGGTTGGAGGCAATCGGCAGGAAGCCTTGGACCTAGGTTTCGTGCTAGTTGGCACTCATTAGTCAGCAAGGCGTATCTGCTACCTTGAAGGAACTCAATTCCCTTCTGAGATTCGAACTCGCGTCACCCAGTGAGTGCTGCAGTCAGAGACGTTACCATTGAGCTATCGAGGATCGCGATTGACCTCCTGTACGACTGTAGTGGATATTTTGATTTGACATTTCATTTCCTCGATATTGCCATACAACGCTTGGAAGAAGGAAATCTACAAAGATCCATTTACGGAAAATCCGCGTGGAATTGACTATACTTAAATTTCGATAGTTTTTGTCCAATTAGCTATTATAATTGAGAATTGGTCAAAACTCTATTTTACAGAGCCAGAAGAATATGCTCCACAGAGATACAGGATGAAGCATTCCTAAACATTGAAAAATAAATGGTTACCCTCCAAAATTCATCAAAAAGTATGGAAGATCTAGAAATCTAACACGGTGAAACAAACTACAGTAAATAAGAAACCTTTCTTCCTCCAAATCGATTTTAAAAGCGATAATCTTGCAAGATAATTAACAGAAGATTGAAAACTTCTCTAACCAGAACCTATCCTGCAGCCAAATTGATCCAGTTTATCGAGCAACAAACTCTTTGGTACATCCAAAGGTTAATGGACACCCTTCCCATGTTAGCTCTAATTGTGCATAGAAATTTACGTGTATCTGCAGGAGCAGTTACACTGGGAGAACAGAAAGAAGGATATATCTCAGGATCTCTGAACGTCTCATGGGAACAAATGCTTTGAACAGTGCTATTGCCAGACATCTTTTCGATACAGGCCATCAAGGTGGACAGCGTGAAGTCCTTCAAGATTATTAATAGACAATACAACTCAACTCTCCTGAGATTTGCCGAAGCAATCGCTATTAAACGTTTAAAACCTGACTTATGTGTTCAGAAAGATTCAATTTATTAGTCTTTCTTTGTCTTGATGACCTAACATCTAATCTTTTGCTTTTATCCCCCGAACCCCTACTCTTTTTGTCAGGCTGGAATTCAGTTCTCTTTTGTTTTTGTGACTTTAGTTAAACTCACCACACTATTACACATTATCACCTTCTCTCCTCTTGTCTTGACTATACAATTCGATTTTCAATGTATCCGATTTAGTTTTGCATGTTTGTATATTTTGTAACCTTAACCTCCTTCAAAAGTTATATAAGTAGAACTTCTGAACATTGTTTGTTAACATGTATCTCTCTGTTAAGAAAAATCGTGTTGATCCTTGGAAGTATAACAACATTCTATGTACATTTGTAATGGCAGAAGACAAGGGCCAGGAAACAAATCCTTTATTGAGAAAATCAAGAAGTATTTATGAATTTTTATGTACATTATTATTAGCGTTATTGTTAGCAGAGAAGAAACGTCTTCTGATTGGTTGCTTTCTTGCTGAAGGTTATTCTGTACTGCTTGTGACGGTTTCTCAGAAAGTTAAGTCATATATCTGCGAATCGTATTTGCACACGTTAAGTCTGCTGTGATTGGTCGGTGAGTTCCTCAAGGTTAAGCTTTGTTATTGCTTTTTTTCTCATGACCATGATTCGGGACGCAAACATTCACGTAAATTGTTGTCTACAATTTTGGCTAGAAGACAGCTTTCACCACACATTTACACGATCAACTTTTAGGTTGTAAGCAGCTGAAGCGAATCCTACGACGAAATAAATGGTGACCTAATATTATTCTGCACAAACATTTGTTCTCGCTTTGTTTAAATTCACGAAGGGGAATAAATCTATGAAGAATTATAATAAACAGAAATGAAAAGAATTTAGTGGATATACGAGGTAGGTCACAAAGCTCGAATGCATCTGCCCCATTGAGAACGACTTCCAGGTATACATCTCCAGTAGTTAATCCAGTGGGAGTCGAACCCAGAAACCACTAGTGGTCTAAAGTCTAAAGAAGAACACTTCATCACTGTTACTAACAATAGCAATAATTAAATGTATAATTGGAATACTGAAAACTACTTCATTTCACAAGAGACAATAAAACTCTAGATATCGCTTCACTGTTTTTCTTTTGATTTTCTTAAATCGATCACCTGATTAATTTGAACAAAACCATAAATTAAGCGAAATGTTCGATTGTTTTACTAGATAGAAATTAACAGATATACCACATATCCAAAAACGAAATTAGTGGTGTGGTGAGAGCTGTCTTCTAGCCAAAATTGTAGACAACAATTTACGTGAATGTTTGCGTCCCGAATCAGGGTCATGAGAAAAAAAGCAATAACAAAGCTTAACCTTGAGGAACTCACCGACCAATCACAGCAGACTTAACGTGTGCAAATACGATTCGCAGATATATGACTTAACTTTCTGAGAAACGGTCACAAGCAGTACAGAATAACCTTCAGCAAGAAAGCAACCAATCAGAAGACGTTTCTTCTCTGCTAACAATAACGCTAATAATAATGTACATAAAAATCTATAAATGTCTCTTGATTTTCTCAGTAAACGATCTGTTTCCTTGACCTTGTCTTCTGTCGCTACAGTGGTCACATTTAAACAAAAATCGAAACATACGCACACACACACACACTCAACAATAAAATTCCCGAGAAACAAACAAATAAAACTGTACATAATAATTAAAAGTGCTTACTTGATAATTTAGACTGAACAGGATTGCTACTAGCATCAGCATAGGGCTGTGAAATGTCTACTGAAGTGTTGAATGAATCTGGTAAAGAGTCGATAATAACACCCGAGACATCAGATCTAGTTCTGAAAAAATATCAATTGGAGAGAACAAAATCATAAGTTTCAAATTCGATCACAACTTGATATCAGTTAGAGAACACTGAAAACCATCAGGGAGTACTGGAGAGCTGTTTCCTCCCAGTTTGTGACTCTGCAGTACTATGTACCCATGACTACTCCATCAGGGGTCGAATCCAGGTCCTTCAGGTTACGAGGCTAGATGACAGACAATTCAGCCACTGGGACGAAATCCAGTGGCTCATCGATTCTAACTCCTGTAAATTTGTGATCTTTAGTGCGAATGTCATCTGGCCTCACACCCAACCTGGTGGTCCTCACTGGTCACGACTTCCCCCTAGGACTCCACGCAACTTCATCCGACAGTCTTTGACTAATGAGTGTCAGATTAAGTGTTAGTGTTTGTAGGGATTTGATTGGTTTCAAGTGTGATAACGGGTTGATATCAGTTAAAAGAGTCCCAAAATGGGGGGGGGTGAGCCGCTGTCCAGGAGTTCCTGGTTCTTAATGGTTCTCTAATTGATATCAACCCATGATCAAGCAAGTTTGAAACCAATCAAATCCCCACAAACTAACACTTGAAAGATAGTAAGCTTTGTAAAAAAACAATCAGTCGGCTTGGTAAATTTTAATTAGGTGCAGAAACAATAGGTAACATATCACTGTCGATTTTGAACGCTGTTTCTTTAGATTATTGTATAAATACCTTAAGACTGATCCTAAATACTTCACAACGAAGAATTTTATTAAGATCACATGCTTTAACTTCCACTCTAACTACTTCACTCTGGCTGAGTAAGTAGTAGTATCACTTAACCTTCAGACTATATATAGTCTAGCTCATGAAAAATCTATTTCAGGTAGTTAGACTTGCAAATCAACAGACTGTGTGCCAATACACAGACTCGTAGACACTGGCTAAATTGAATTATCAATGGCATCGAGATATTGGGTCACCTATAGAAGTGCATGTGTACTGCAGAGCGGTTCTATCTCCTACTTTATGACTGTTTAACTTGACTTCTAGTACCAAAAAGACATTGAAAGATCATAATTTTTTGACTATAATTACCGCCACGCAATTGTTCACTAAAGATGAAGCAACAGGGTAAGCAATACTGACTTATATCAGACACGAAGTATTAATCAACGATGTAAATGAATGTGAACATTGAACGTTAGTTCATTGGCCTTGATCGCCATTGGCGGGCAACTTTTTTTTCCTTCACGTTCCCCAGTGGAACAGAGGGTTTCAAGCTAGTGGCTCGAAGTTTCTGTAGCAATGTTTATTTTACAGGATGGGGTTGCTAACCTCATGCCCAACCTTTCCTCTTCATCAGCATTATTTCTGGCTTAGCGAGGTAAAGGAGTGCGTCGGCCGGGGATCGAACCCCGGACCATGTGCATGGTCGGCGAGCGTCCTAACCGCTATGCCACCGACGCACAACGCGGGCAACTAGAAAGCGCGAATGATTCAATCGTGTACAGGTTGGAAGAAGACGAAAGAATACGAATAAAAGTACAATACATTCTTTGTAAAACATTTGTTTATAGACTTTGTACGGACATTGATTTTAATTGCCAAACAATACAACTTATTACAAGTCCTTGTGTTTTGGAATTAAGGTCAATATCGTTCATAGTAATCGTCAGTTCAAGCGTCTCCGGAGATAATAGGAACTATTTGAAGTGGCTGCATTATCTTTTACGCATATCCCCACTGCCAAAGTAAAAGTTCCCACTTCTTTTTGTTGTTCTCATGACCCGTTATAACTAGCTTCATGTAATGTTCTTGAAACCACTACTATTATGGCACAATAACCAATGCATTATTAATATTATGTTTTAAAAGAGTAATTGTTTTTTATTAATTAAATTTAGATGTTTTTTTTTCTTAAATAACATAGTACAACAACATACCCCTTTGATGCTTCCAGATTAGAGCCAATTTTCTGAAGAATTTCTTCGTAAACAACCATATCAGTAAATATGTACACCACCTAAAAATTGAGAATAAAAATAAGCCAAACTTTGTCATCACATGCATTGAAATGAAGTCGAAGCAAATTGTTTTACATTTGTATTATTCGTAACAGTTGGCGGCTTTCAACCAATGGGTCTCTGGTACAAAAATTTGCCTTATCCTAACAAAGTTTGAGCCATCAGATAACACGTACAATAGGTGTAACGCATTCGCATGTGCATAACAATGAAAAAGACGCTTTAGTAACTATTTTAACTGATTATCGATGTGTTCACAACCAAGTATGGCATTATCTGAGAATTACAAGAATCGTTTTATCCTTTAAGTTAAAAGCAACTTGGTACAGCCGAGAGTGGATCATCTCATGTGACTACAAGTTCACAACTTACCTCTGACAGCCAGGTAAATCCTATTCACTACCTTCACACCATGGCGGAGGAGTTCCTCACAAAAGTGCAAGGTTAAATTCGAACGTCTGGTGATTACAACCGGACTGGTGGATATGCAAGTCTACCACTACCTAGTGGAGACACAGAGAACTTTGATTCCAAACCTATGGTGTACATGGGATTCATAATATGAACAGATAGAACGGCGTGCGAACCTATTCTGGTTATAGGAAACCAAGGGGAATGTAGCTCCTGACGCCTCTCCACTTCCATAGGGAACAGATTTCAAGTCAAAGACTCGGACGTGGGATGGCCTCTTAAGACAATCTGGGCGTCCCAGGAAATATCCCAGCCTTCGTATAAACCATGACATTTTGTGTGGTGCATCTCTTTTTGTCCATAATGTACCGAGTTTGTATTTTAATAATAATTACTATTATTATAATTTAATGTGAAAGCATCATGTGGTGAATTGCTAGAAATAGATAGACAGGTTACACACATAGTACAAATGTGTTACATCACAATGCATGATTATCAAGCTCCAATTTGAATATTTAGAGAAGAGGAGAGATTCATTCTAGAAATTAAGAAGTACTCCGGTTGGTGTTTCTATAAAACATGCGTGGAAAGCAAACCTAATGGACTACCAAGCCCCCTTAAAAATAATGCCCAGTATATTGAAATGTTAGAAATTGAGCAGATGCACTTCTGTGCAGATTTCTACACTGATCTGTCAGTTGAACAGGAAATAAAATGAAGAAATCCATATGAAAATCCAGTATATAAAGTGTTAACAGTAGGAGGAAAGCAAATTGATGGTGATGTAGATAAAAGTGGGTGATGATGAGGACAGCTTCATACGCTTCTGGGAGGGTATAGGTAGTTGTTACTTCCCAGCTGCCCACGCCGTGGAAGATGACTTTTTCCTTGAGGTACCTGAAAACGTAGTAAGAATTAATGTTATGTGACCGCAGAGTCCAGGGGATAACTGCTTGAGGTAGGTCACAGATGACCTGTTTGAACTTGTTCCTAGAGTTGTCTCCGTATTAGGAACTTACCACCGGCTACAGACAACCACAGAGTGTCGGGATTCGCAATTTTCGAGGTCGACCTTTCGTAACCTCCCTCTCCAGAATGCAGAGGAACCATAGCTGGCATGCTGGTCACCTAAGGGAAACACCTTACTGCTGTTACATCCCTGTCCCACAGTAGTATAACTTTGCTTACAGACCCCCCCCCCCCGACATAGTATAAACATCTTACATTATGCCGGTAACTGCTCTTAGTGTGATCGCTATCGTAAGAACCTTTGTGGCATGGTGGGACCTGCAGGAACATTAGTTCTAGCCAGTATAGCTTGTTGGTTCATTGTTATATGCAAGCCCAACCACCACGTCAAAGTAGCAGCTATCGGTCGGGCAAGTTTATGAAGCAGTGCGAGTTCCAATAGTTACTGAAAGTGGTCGCTAAATGGTTAGTTTTCCCACTTGTATAAAACACCTAATCCGTGAATGCAAAAGATACATATATGTTGCACTTCTAAAATGCTTAAAATATTGAAGCTATTCAGACTCAAACAATCACATTTATCATTATAAAAAAACACTAATAAAAATTTCTGTAGTGTAGCAACAACGTAAACATAACTAACCTTATCAATGGTTATAATGAGAACACCTCCAGTAGCAGGTGAATTATTCTGTGGAAAAGCTTCAGCTGATACTACTTCATGCACAGGGAGAATAATTTTGGTATCTTCTGTCTGTAAAATTGAATAAGTTGGTAATAGAGTCATTCAATACATCGAAAAACCACAAAACAGAATTCTATACAATTACAATAACAAATTTTCCTCCATCACAAACTTGATATAACATATTTCTATTATCCGATATGGTGAAGCTACATGCCGAGTGATTTTCAGCAGAAAGCTCAATGAAGTCTTCGAAATGAAGACAGGAGTAACACTACGCTGTTTACTATCATCAATGGTACTGCTGATTGTGGTTCACTAGATCATGTAACAGACCATGGAGAGCGAGAAGAGAGGTACACATTGGCTCGTATGGATGTGTGTCCAATGTCCCATAAACTCAAAAATCATCTACAGATGAAAACCAACATGTTGAAAGAAGTGGAAATGAAGGCGGGACTTAAAGTGAACATAGAGAAGGCAGATGTAAGTGATGAAGACACCTAACCAACAATAATAACAAAAGCAACAAGGGCCAATCACCGTCAACAGGAAAAATCTAAAGGAAGTCACCCCATTCATCATTTACCTAGGCAGCATCGTCTCAACTGCAGGTGACGCGGAACGGATGAGGATGTCAGAGGCAATCGGGATCGGAAAAGCAAGACAGACAGACCTTCATTACTCTGAAATCAGTGCAGAATCCTACTGCACTCAGTGTATGGGACAAAATTCCAATTTCCAACACCAATCTTAAGTCAATCAGTTCTTCTATAAAGGCCAAAAATTTGAAGCACCATGAAAAGTATTTCCAACAGACTGCAAACTTTTGTCAGCAACTGCCATCGCTCTATAATGAAGATCAAATGGCTAGAACGAACTACCAACATGAAACTCGGGGAACCAACTAACCAAGAACCTGTCGTCCAACAAATATACCGAAGAAAATGGAGACGGCCCCGATACACGCTGAGAGGACAGTTGAGTGACATCGCCCTACAGGTCCTTGAGTGGAGCTCATATAGGAAAAGACGAGTTGGTCATCTGAGGGTGACATGAAGGAAATGGAAGCTAATGGGCAATCGTAGAATCACCTGAACTAGACTGCAGAGAACACATTGAAATGAAGATGTGCAGTTGAATCCACTCAGTACCCAAGGGGAGCTAAGAGAACTAACTACTCGAGACTGTCAATGATACTGCTCAAAATCATTCTCAACAACGCAGATGTGCATTCATTCTTTTTTTGTCTCCCAGATCCATTAAGTCCATATGCAATTATTCTTTTTCCAGTAGATTTATGTTTATTACAGTTTTTTTAAAATTCAGATATGATGGAGAAGATTTGTAGCTCAGGGGGATGATTTTGATTCGTTTTTGCTTTTCTCTACCATTGTGGGCTACATAGAATGTGATAACTTGAACATCTGTACCATCCGTGTACAGATGTACGTTTGAAAATTGCGTGTTCTTGGATTTTCCATGTACCACAAATCGATATCTTTCAAATACTGCTAATTTACCATGCATCAATATTTATTTATTTATTTATTTAAACGCATTAAAACTTGGTACAATATGGCACCAAGAAGGATGCGCCACACAATAATAATAAAACAACATAGATGAAAAAAAGGAAGGCAGGAAAAGAAAAAATATATATAAGTAGAGAACGAATAATGAACTTCATCTGGAAGGAAAACACTCATTCTTAACAGGTTCAAACAGTGTTCGTTAACTATCATCGGGAATGGAAGAAAGAAGGAAATCGCAACACATTCGCCATTGATTACGATTCTTGGCCATATCCGATAACGTTTTGAGCCATCGATTTCAGCTATCTCTCAGACCCCAATCAGGGAGTCGTGACACACCAACCGATGCTAATCTAGCACAAATATCCTTCATCCCACGACGCCACGTCATGGGCTGCCCACCTCTCCGCCTTTTCCAGCCCGTCCCAGGGCTAGCGAACAGAGACCTGTACGGAAGCCTCTGGGGTGACATTCGCAGCACATGCCCAAGCCACCGGAGCCGGTGTTTCCAGATGACGACATTCAATGAATGGTGATCTCCACTGTGTTCAAACACACGCCGCCGAACCTCAGAATTACTCACGCGATGATGCCATCGAACGCAAGCAATCCTGCGGAGACAGCGGTGATCGAACACGCAGAGTCGCCTCACATCCTCAGCTCGGAGAGGCCAGGTTTCACAGGCGTAGAGCAGCGCAGCCCGCACCGAAGCATTGTATACCCGACCTTTGACAGCCAGGCTAACGTCGCGACGGCGCCAGAGGTGGCTCAAGTTGATGTATGCCACCCTAGCTTTCATTATACGGTTAGAAATCTCATCCGTCACCCCTCCGCCAGCACTCACACAACTACCTAGGTACACAAACTTATCGACAACTTCAAGCGGTTCACCCGCAAGAGTGAGTGCAGGTACAGGCTCCTGCCAATCTTGTAACAGTACTTTGCACTTAGACGGCGCAAAGCACATACCATACTTACAGACACTGATCGCCAACTGATTAAGTGCGATTTGGGCAGCCTGCATGCTATCGCACAGTAAGACGATATCGTCTGCATACTCGAGGTCGAAAAGTCTATCTCCAGGTAGCAGATCTACACCACCTTCACGCACATCCTTCAGAGCTGGCTCCAGAATGTCATCAATGGCAAAGTTAAAGAGAAATGGTGAGATTGGGCAACCCTGTCTAACCCCACTGTTGGTTGGGAACAGTGGTGATAGTTGGTTGTATGCCCTCACTCTACCTGAGGTGTTTCTGTATAGGGCTTTCAAGATGTTAACAAATTTCTCAGGTACACCTCTCTCTAACAGACAGTTCCAGAGCACAGTTCTGTCCAACGAATCGAAGGCAGCCCTAATATCAAGAAACACAACGATCGTTGGCCTGCAATACGTGTGGCGGTGTTCCAACAACTGACGAAGGGTGAACACATGATCAATGCATCCACGACCTGAACGAAACCCAGCCTGCTCTTCGCGAACCAATCCTTCGCGTATTTTGCACAGTCTGCGAAGCATGACAGCAGCCAATATTTTAGACGCAACTGGTAACAGACTGATACCCCTATGGTTGTCACACGAATTACGTCGACCCTTTTTAAAGATGGGGACGATAATGGATTCGTTCCACATTGATGGTACGCTCTCTGTCTCCCACACCCTCCTGAACAACCCAGTTAGAGCCATTATGAGAGTCTCGCCACCCTCTTTAAAAAGAGCCGGGGGTAATTTGTCTGGGCCGGGCACCTTATGGCGTTTCAGAACTTGGAGTTCCTTACGGACCTCCGCTTCGGTGGGTGGGTCGGTACTAACCGACCAAGGAGCACTCGGGCTAATGATAGTAGACAATGAAGCTGGTGGCCAGCTGAACTGCTTCCCGAAGTGCTCTGCCCAGCGTTCCAGGCGTCTCTTCAGGCTGGTAATTGGAGTGCCATCTGCCTCACAGACCGTCTCGCTGACACCTTGTTTCTTGCTGCCGGTGGCTCGTATGAGTTGGAACAGCTTCCGACTGTTGCCAGATGCAGCAGCTGACTCCATCTCATACGCACGTTCTGACCACCAGGCTTCGCGGTCCTTACGTAAACACTGTCTAATCTTGCGCGTGAGCGCCTTTCGCTGATTGTTGTATTCACTGCCAGCCGGAATGGACCGGCGTTCATCCATGAGTTGCAAGGAACTCACAGAAACCCAGTGGTTGTTAGCGGAGCATTCTTTCAAGCCGCAAGCGGCTACACTCGCCTTTTGCATGGCACCTTGAACATGAAGCCAGTGTTCATCTATACTATTTGGGGGGTTGCTGGCAAGCATTGTTTTCAACTCGTTCTGATATTTCAAAGAAGTAGCAGGTGCTACTAGTTTGCTCGCATCAACGCTTAGACGACGGTTTTTACGAACCCCACCAAATCGCAAGACGAACTTGGCACACACTAACGCATGATCGGAGTCCAGGCATGTGCTCCAGAAGGAGCGACAGTCTTGTATGCATCCTCGCCACCGGAAACTGACCGCAATATGATCAATCTGAGTCCAAGCTTGCTTCGCAGAGGGAGGACGCCAGGTAGCGCTACGGCGATGGCTGTGCCGGAAGTTGGTGCTGGCTAGAAATAGGTTGTGATCCGCGCAAAGCTGCAGAAGACGGTCCCCATTATCTGACCTGCGACCATGTAGTCCCCACTGACCACCTAGACGACTCTCCTCTGAGCTTAGACGCCCTACCTGTGCGTTCAAGTCCCCAGCTAGCACTACGATATCCCTCCGACCCGCCTGTTTCAACAGATCGCTCAGTTGGTAGTAAAACTCATCCTTCATTGCATCAGGGCTGCAATCCGTCGGTGCATAGGCAGAGACAACAAATAGACACCGCCTATCTGGCCTACTACTCCTTACTTTCGTATATCCTTCCAGCCTCACAGCACATAAACGACTGTTAATGGGAATCCAGTCGAGCAGTGCAGCTTCGGCTCTAGCGCTCAGTGCGACACCGACACCTGCTACGCCGGATGCTGATGCCACAGGGTCCCCGGATAAGCGCAGGTGGTACATACTACTAGAATTTCCAGATGGAGAGGACAGTCGAAGCACTTCACTGGGATATTGAATGCGGGTCTCCGAAATGCAGCAGACATCGATAGCGAGGCTTTCCAAAGTTCTTGCCAACCCTGCCTGTTGTCCGATTTGCATCAGCGTCCGAACATTGTAAGTAGCCAGCTTGAACGCAGCGCGCGGTTTCAGGATATCTGTGTTAGAAGTCACATTGGGAACAACCATTTTGAGGACTACTCACTAACATCTCGAAACGACACGGATAGGCTGGGAATCTCGACAAAGGCGAAAGGCTGTCGAAGGTTAAGAAGCCAAGGTTAGAAAAGGTAAAATACAGGAAACTATGTGTAAAAATAATAGTAAGATAGGAAGGAAATAAGTTGCTTGAGGGATCAATATTGCTTTGAATCATTTTTCACTAGCGCGCGTTGAGTTTCAATGAGGGTTCGTTGTTTCAATTGAATGAATGAATGAATGAATTGAAACAACCATGCATCAATAGAAATAATCATTATATTATTACTCTTTATTATTCCCTTGAGTTCCGAGTGGGACATCTTCATTTCATCCTGTTCTCTGCAATCTTTTTTACTTGGCTCCACAACTGCCCACCCACAAGGTCTCATTTATTCTTTACATGATCTCCTTCATACCATCCTCGACCACACACCCAACTCATCGTTTCTCATTTGAGTCCCATTCAAGGACCTGGGACACAACGTTACTCAATTGTCTTCTCAGGGTGTATCCATCTCCATTCTCTCCTACAGATTTCTTGAGCAATAAGTTCTTGGTTGATTTGTTCTCAAAGTTCCTTGTTGCTTATCTTTCCTGGCCATTTGACCTTCAATATGGAGCTAGCGAATGCAACTGTTGATACAAGGCTGTAATGGCCTGTTGGAAATGTTTTTCATGACGCTGGCGACATGTTTCTGATCCATACAGAAGAGCTGATTGACTCAACATTGGTGTTGGAAATTTGAATTTCGTCCTTTACATTGAGTTCAGTAGAATTACACACTGATTTCAGAGTAATGAAAGTCTGTCTGTTTCGGCTTTTCCAATCCCGACTGCCTCTGACATCCTCATCCGTGCCGCGTCACCTGTAGTTGAGACGATGCTGCCTAGGTAAATGATGAATGGGATAACTTCCTTTCGATTTCCCTTGTCGATGGTGATTGGTGCTTCTTCTTCTTCATGGTTAGATATCTTCGTCACCTCTGTCCTCAGTATGCTCACTTGAAGTTCTGTGCCTTCACTGCCTAACTCTTCTTTCAACTTGTTGATTTTCACTCCTAAATTTTCGAGTTCCAGTGAAATGGTACATAAATCATCCACAAAGTCCATACATCTTTTAGAGTCTTTTTATCTATCCAAAGGAGAAATTCTTACAATTACCGAATTCAACATTGAATTGAATTCTAGATTTTCCCATCGATTGATTTAACAGAAGTGCTCGGTCTCAGGTTGACATGTCGGCTTCTTGTGCAAATGCTTCGACGATGTCTTGGCATTTAATTAGTATTTAATTGGTGGATGGTGACTAGTAGGTACATCCAGATGACGAGTCCCAAATAGGACGAAATACGCATCCTGGATTCCACTGCTGGTCACCATCCACCAATTAAATACAAATTTAACATTGATTCTGTGAACAAATAAATCAAATATCATTTCAAAAAAAATTTAAAAAAAAAACAATCGATTGCCATTTACGTGAACGTGATTCAAATAAAAAAAACAGACGCGAAAAGAAGTGAAACTAACCAGTGAATTGTAACAGATAAATTGAGCAGATATAAATAACTTTCCAGACAAAGGTTCATTATTGTCTGGATTGTGTAATTTACAGTCAACAGAAATATCTAATATTTCATAAGCAGGTAAATGAAATAAATTTTGATAATGTTGACTACATATCAGAACATCTAATTTCTCCCATAGATTTGATGAGTCCTGAGTAAGTAGGCTGTTTAAAATATATAAAAAGTATATATATATATATATGTACAATCAAATCGAATACCAATAAATATTACATAATCCCTATCTCAGACGCAAATATATAAAGAAAATACCAATTTACTTTTCCACAACCAATGCTCAAAGGAATTTCATTGTCGATATGAATCAAACCACTAGTGTACAGTTCTATAGGTCGAAGTTACAGATTGGTGTTGTCGGACATGCGACCAATGAATGCAGTCCCACGCCACACGCCGAACATACAAAATATTTGATAGAATACACAGTGATAATATATTATAATTTCCTTGGGTTCCAAGTGCAACATATAGGGCTTCAACAGCGCATCTCAATTTTTTCCTGTTCTCTGAGGTCCTCCTCAGCTCGCCTAACGACTCTTCATAACCTTTCATCTCCTCCTTACACAATCTCCTCCATGTCATTAATGTCAAATCACTTGTTGTTCTATATGGTTCAGAAACATGGCGCACCCGTCAGGGAAAGCATTTCCAACAGGCTACTGCAAACTCTCATCAACAACTTTCTTTGCTGGCTTCATACACTGAGAATCAGATAGCCAGAAAGGAACTCCGGGACCGAACCAATCAAGAACCTACTGACCAACAAATATATTGAAGAAAATGGAGGTGGTTCGGACACACGCTGAGGAGACCATTGGTTAGTACTGTGCGCCAGACTGTCGCTCGAGTAGAACCCAAGTGGGAAGCGACGAGTTCCGCGGGATTCCATGGGTGATATGGAGGAGATCGTATGAGGGGGAGATGAATGCTTATGGACAATCGTGGGGCGAGCTGAAGAGGACTGCAGAGAACAGGAGAAAATGGAGATGTGCTGTTGAAGCCCTATGTTCCACTCGGAACCCCATCTAGTTTACTAGTTCGCCAGTTTTCTATTCGGTCCCAAGTCCGGGAAAAAAAAGTAAAGTTGAATGTGGGGGCTAGCGAACCTACCACGAAAAATCAATCCAGTCACTACAGAAACTTTCAGGCACGATAAAAGTATTAAAAACAAACTTAATCTTCCCTGTAATCGGAGAGACGCAATGACGCAAGCTGGTGACAGCCTTCGGGAAGCCAATCAACCGATATGTCCTCTTTCGACGAAAGTGAAAACAAGCAATACACAGTGATACAGTATATTAATCACTGGGTGACAATTTGACCACAATTTATTGCTTATAATAATATCAGTGCATTCAAATAATTTGATAGCTTGCTTCATATAGCCTCCTCCTTTCTCCTGCTTTTTTTTCTCCATATAGACAGTTTAGACGTTGCGTCACTTCGACTGCACGTGTTCGGTGTTGATTCGAAGAACAAAGATGCGGCGATTAACTTCTCTCTCTCCAACTAACTATATTACTTTGTGATGCTCATATTTTAGCATATGCAAGTGAATGCATAGCAATGACCGAACATTTTACTAGATTACTCAGCTTCGCAGGGTCAATTATTCTAACTCTAACTAAATTCCTATATTCCAATAACTAAACTGACCCCAGTCTACTAGCTTGACCTATGTTACTGACCTATAACCTCTTAATTGGATCTTTTGGATCCTTGAGTCGACGAAGTTTATCTCTGAGAGAGCTGGTTGGTTTAAATACCATCCCAATTACAGCTTTATTAAGAATCCTACGTAGGGCCTCTGATGTTCCTGCTTTAAATGGTAGCAGAACCACAAAGGCTTTGAATTCCATATTATTTATGTTATTTTCATCATTTTTATTACTACTATTTCTTTCAAGAGTTGGTTTGTAAGGATTAGATTTGTTTTTACGAGTTTGACGACGGATTGATATCAGTTAGAGAACCATTGAAAACCAGGGAGTACTGGACAGCTGTTTCATCCTAGTTTGGGGATCATTGGTAGTACGAACCCACCGCCAGGGTTGGAACCCAGGACCCTATGGTTAAACTCGTAAAAACAAATCTAATCCTTACAAACAAAGTTTCGGCTAGTTAACTAACACAGACTAAAATATCATTAGCAGTACAGGAAGAAAATTGAATAGCGCTGGATACCTCTTGAAATTTATAACGAGGAAACCATAACCGTTGGAACAAGAACAACTTTATTATTTTGACTAACTGACGTGAAGTGTGTGGGCAGTTGTTAACTCCCAGCTGTCCACACGACAGAAATTGATCTTTTCTTGAGGTACCTGAAATAACATTAGTGTTGGGTGACCGCAGATCCCAGAGGACAAATGTCTGAGGCCGGTCACACACATACACAGCCTATTTAATGAACTGGTTTTCGGAGCTGCGTCCGTATTAAGATCTTACCGCCGGCTACGGACAATGGCGAAATAACTTGGGATGTACAATTTTCGGAGTCGACCTTTCCTAACCCTCCTCTCCAGAGCAAAGATGCAGCATACCCGGCATGCTGGTTATCTGAGGAAAACATCTAACTGCTGTTACACCCCTGTTCTGCCGCAATAAGACTTCGCCATCAGACCCCCTAATATAGTATAAACAACTCACGCTGTGACGTAAATTGCTTTTAGTTTAATCTTCATCCAATCAACCTTTCTGGCATGGTAGGACCTGCAGTAACATTAGTTCTGCCAGTGTAGCTCATTAAGTCATTGCGAAATGCCAGCTCGACCACCACGTCAACGTAGCAGCCTTTAGTCGGAACTTTATTATTTTGCATTCAAACAGTCTAGGATCACATCTCAAGTGTGAGTTCATTCTAAATTCAAAAAAACTACCTAAAAAGTATTCCTTAGCAGGGATGGAAACAAACCTTTTAGACAAAACTACCAACGGACATTGTCATTAATACAAAAGGAAGCCATGAGACTGGCGCATTCATCAAAAAAATATGTCTACAATCTTAGAAAAACTTATATTACCTCAACGATTTGAATGTCACTCAATGCCAAATTATTAACATAACATATGACCCTAACTGATACCAATGTCCGTGCAAGGAATTGTAAAAATCAGTTTAATAACAATACTGAACAACAGATCAATAAATTTCTCGAGCAATACTGATGACTAAATAGCTATATTGATTAGTGATTGGAGACCAACTCCTCTACAGAACCTAAACATGAAAAATGTTCCACTTCGCCAGAATATTCTGTGCCATCTGAAAGTATGATGCTATCAACTTTAGACAATCTCTAGGCTACCACGTTCAAATGAATTAAACTTAAATTAGTAAAGTTTTATTAAAATCTTCGCAACTTCACAATACAGACAAAATCCAGAAATCTGGATATTTTCATCATAAGAGCCACCGGTTCAAACTGCAGTGGGTGCGTACTGCTGAAAAGTCCTAAACTAGGACCAAACAGCTGCCTAGTACTCCCAGATTTTCCAATAGTTCCCTAACTGATGTCACCTCGTGATCAATCCTGTCACTAACCAAATCCTTGCAAACCAACACTTGACCATCAAATTATCTCAATCGTACACATACATAGAAATGTATAAGCATGATATTAGATAGTTGGAGGCGGTCGGCTGGAAGCCACGCCTGACCTAGGTTTCGTGCTAGTTGGCAATCACCAGTCAGCAAGGCGTATCTGCAACCTTGAAGGAACTCAAGTCCCTTCTGAGATTCGAACCCGCGTCACCCAGTGCTGCCTGCAGTCAGAGACGTTACCACTGAGCTACCGAGGATCGCAATTGACCTCCTGTAGGACTCTAGTGGATACTTTGATTGGATACTAGTGACTAGTGTGATGTGTCTAGTCCTTTATTTGGTGCAGACTGAATTCTATCAGTCAGGTTTGCAATGTGGCCACCATTCTAGGTAGCCCGCCACAGTCATCATACTGCAAACCTGATTGATAGAATTCAGTCTGCACCAAATAAAGGACTAGACACATCAAACTAGTCACTAGTATCCAATCAAAGTATCCACTAGAGTCCTACAGGAGGTCAATCGCGATCCTCGATAGCTCAGTGGTAACGTCTCTGACTGCAGCACTCACTGGGTGACGCGGGTTCGAATCTCAGAAGGGACTTGAGTTCCTTCAAGGTTGCAGATACGCCTTGCTGACTAGTGAGTGCCAAATAGCACGAAACCTATGTGGAAGGCTTCCTGTGGCTGATTGCCTCCAACTATATAATACCATCAAATTAATGTGCAACGTGATGACGAGCTACCTAGAATGGTGGCCACATTGCAAAACCTAACTGGTAGAATTCAGTCTGCACCAAAGAAAGGGCTAGACACGTCACACTAGTTACTAGTGTCCAATCAAAATAAAGTACAAGCATGTTTTAGCAACTTACGTCTTTAAGTTTAAATCAAAGTGTGACCAACTTGTATAACAGTCATCCACTAGCAGCCTGATAAATAATCATATGGACAAAAAAATATTGATGCATATATTATAGTTTAAATATAATATGTGAAATATAACTTAAAAAATCTTTAATTTGAATAAAAAAAAAGAACAACAGATTGTGCAGAATAAATAAGACAGCACCATCTTATTCCGCTGGTTTTATTCAGAACGAGTATTTTACAAATAAGCACTTCTAGGGGACGAATTCAAGTCAACACTTATTGACTTAGTGTTACAAATAACCATATTCACTGTGTGATTAATAACACACGAACGTTAATTTCAAAGTATTTCGCCAGCTTTCCTCTATGCGGTGTTTATACGTTTTATAAATCTGATTTACAACTGCGAACTAGATTTCATTCTTACCTCCATGACTGAAGAGTTTATCAGATATATTTCGTCTTTTCTCATTCAGATTGCCTTCAGTCCCAATAGCGCTAATGTTGGTTTTATGAGGAGCGGCTGCTAGCCTTGTGTTTAACCTTTCATATTCGCCAGTAAGAGACAGCGAAAAGAGGACTCCAGGTGAACACAGAGAAGATGGAGGTGATGAAGATAACCAACCAACATCATCATCAACAACAACAACAACCAGCACTAATCACCATCAACGGGAGAGATTTAACAGAGGTTACCTCCTTCACTTATCTGGGAAACATCGTTTCAACTACAGGCAATCGGTTCAGATGAATATTTTGGAGTCAGACAGAATCAGAAAGGCAAGCAAGATACACCTTCATCAACCTGAAACCAGTTCGGAAATCTTCCGCATTCAGCACAAGGAACAAAATTCGAATTTTCAAAACCAAAGTGAAGTCGGTTCTTCTCTACGGGTCAGAAATTTGGCATGTCATGAAAAGGATTTCCAACAAGTTGCAGATTTTCGTCAACAGCTGCCTTCGCTGGCTACATACTGAAGATCAAATGTCCGGTCAGAAAGAATAAGCAACAAGAAACTATGGAAACAAACCAACGAAGAGTCGATCGCTCAACAAATATGTAGGAGAAAGTGGAAATGGATCGGGCATACATTGATATCGCACACCAGGCCCTCGAGTGGAATCCAAATGGGAAGCGACGAGCGGGTCGTCCTGGGGTGACATGGAGGAGATCGTGTGAAGAAGATATGAGAGAGATTAATCAATCGTGGACACAGCTGAAGAGGAGGTCAGGAAACAGAACAAAGTAGAGATGTGTTGTTGAAGCCCTATGTTCCACTCGGAACGCGAGGGAATAATAATTCGCCAGTAAAGTCAACGAAATTGAGAAGTACTTCAGCCGGGAATCAAGCCAGGATCACGTGAGGTGTGTTTGGCGAGCATTCTACCAAATGAATTATAGGTGCACATTTTTCGTCCTGGGTCAGTCTAATTAAAGTCACATAACAAGACCAAGGGATAATTTTCGGTCGTGTTGCATTTTTCTATTTGGACAGTTGAAGCATGCAGTATTCACTGTGGTGCACTTATTTGGTTTTTACCTAGAGAGTTCAAGTTTAAACCAAACTAGTGTATGCATACAATGGTCAAGGAGTTATGATATAAAGACAAGAGATAAAATGATGAGTAAATGATAAACGAATTAACAATATAGTGACTTCAACTCAAGTCATAGAAACTAGACAAGCAAAAATACACTATATCAAAGAAGAGAGATGTTAAAACCAAAGATAACGTAATCAAACGAAATAGAGAGTAAAGATATGCAGTCATCAGGGCAAGGCAAGACTTGTAACTCCTATCTGAACACATAGATCGGGTTTAGTGGTGACTGGTACGGAAATCTAGGACGTGAGTTTCTTACTACTTTAGATTCATCAGTAGGACGAAACACTCCGCCCGGGATTCCTGGATTATATGCCAAAAACAAGGAATTCGCCTTAATTACTAGTACATACACCTAATTTGATATGGCTAAATGGTTTATGTATTAGGCTTGAAATAACTGAATTATCGGTTTTGAGCTTTACTCTTCCTGATGATAGGGTCAATACACAACATAATATAATGTTATCATTGTTTGCGAAATATATTGTAAATAACAGCTTAATGTTTACTAAATGAAAGTGGCTTGACCAATACTTCCAAAGACCAAATCACCGAAAAAATAAAACCCAAGAAATGATGATTGACAAACTCGACTTCCCATTTCATGTACTTAGCAATGAATCACATATATTTCGTGCGAAGGCCACCTAAAGCTTGGTGCCTGGAACGTGGTCCGGAAATGCGATCCACAGGATGGAAGTCAAGCGCCTAGACCATTGAGCCACAGCGACACATTCGTTAATCTGCTTAAGCTGTACTTGCCACAATGTACTGTAAGATTGGTTCTGCCTACTTATCTAATTAATTTTCAAGTATTGATTTTGTAGGGATTTTGTTTGATTGCACGGAGGATTTCATCATGAGCTGACATCAGTTAGACAACAACTGGAAAGCCTGTGAGTACTGGACAACTGTTTCTTCCTAGTTTGGGACTCTTCATCAGAAGGTCCTGGGTTCGAACCCCTGTGGGTGCGTGCTGATGAAAGTCCCAAACTAGGACGAAACAGATGTCCAGTACTCCCAGGCTTTCAAGTGATTCTCTAACTGATGTCAGCTCATGATGAAATCCTTCATACTTATCAAATTCACAACACACAGATGCTTACAGGTGAATAGTTTAAGCAGAAACGAGTGTTCAAATTATATTTTCAACTAATGATGTATAGTATACACTTTCAAATAATAGAAAAGGATCCGTTAGTAATAAAAGAAAGTTGTAGATTTTGATTCAACAGAAAGTAGGTGAAATGATGAACGAAACACTAGAGGGTGAGGGGAGTGGATTAAGTGACGATATACCAGAATTAAATCTGATTCAATTCAGGTTGGAAAGAAAAGAGAAATTACCGCTTTCGTAACAGATTAACACTATGAGCCACTCAAACATGAAAATAAGTCAACCTTATTTTCCTCTTCCTTCTTTTAAAACATAAACATTAAGACTTTAATTTTCAAAAGTCAGTTCGTAGGGATTTAATCTGTTTTAAAGTATGATCACGGATCGACATCAGCTAGAGAACCATTGAAAACTAGACACTATTGAACAGATGTTTTCTCCTGATTTGGGACTCTTCGGAGGCACGCATCCACCAGAGTTTGAATCCAGGATCTCCCAGTTACAAGGCGAACTCGTACACCATTCAGCCACTGGGACGGAATCCAGTAGCCGGTCCACGAATTTCAACTTCTACGAATTCGTGATTTTAGCGCGACCACCAGACAATGTCGTCGGCGAGTATTTGCCCTTACGCTAGACAAGATGAACTCTTCCAGTCACGACTTTTCACTTCCAGTAGTAATCATAGCTAACCCAAGTAATAAATTTCTAAAGTATAATCTTGATAACTATTCAATAATTTACAACTACATGCAAAAACAGTACGACAGCCGAGGCAAATGAATCTCAGGATTCATGAAAAATGGATATGCTCGATTTTCAGTGACTAGTTGGGCCCCCCCAAAAAGAAAACAGAACTACTAATAACCTTGTACGAAATATAGTTGTAAGGATACTTTTCTTGAAAACCTCTAAATATTTGGTGCTCTTTGTTTACAGCTAGTAAAACCTGGTGCATAATAATTGGTCGGGTAGCAGATGATGAAAAGTTTCGAGTTCTTGACAGCATTATATCTTGCATATTTGTCACCTATATACTTCAAGCAAAATATGTTACCACCAGTAGTCGAATTCGTTGACTACCTCAGTATCTGATGCCCACTAGTGACTGATTACTGGATGAAGTTGTCTGGAGTTTTAGTGAGAATTCATGACCGGTGGGCTACACCGGGTCGGGTGTAAGTATAAATACTTGTTAACGATATCGGTGGCGCTAAAATTCACCATTGGATAGAAGTTGGAATGCATAGACTGGCCACTGGATTCCGTCTTAGTAGCTGAATGGCCAACGAGCTAGCCCCGTAACCTGAAGGTTCTAGATTCTTCCCTTATTATTACTGGATGCGTACTGTTAAAAAATCTCTAAGTAGGATAGAACAGATGTCCAGTACTCCCGTGGTTTGGAATGGCTCTCTGAATGATATCAATGAGTGATCAAACTTGAGACAAATTAAATCCCTTTAAAATAGTATTTGAAAGTAAACAAAAATGTTTCAGAATGCATAGACAAACAGTCAAGTGTTAATCTCTTCAGAATATGGCCAATTGGGAAATTCATTTCTATGCCTCAGAGCTAAATTTTAATTGACTTAGAGGACAATGTGCACATACCTGTAAACATCAATATAGTCAGACAATGAAAACCGTTACTTTTGTTTTTCTTTGCTAAATCGATGCCTATTACATATCTTACATCAAATCTTCGTTTTCTATGAAGACATATTGCAGATAATATCTGGGTAGTAAGTATCACCAACTCTTACATAATAAATGTGGTTAAGAGACTGTTACGTGAGTAAATCTGTCCCGAGTAACTGATTTCTAACCACATAAATACTATTCTTTGTATTTTTTTTCATAGTATCAGTTGCAAATGCCTTGATACAACGTAATATTTATCACTTTTTTTTGTTATTCAAAATCCTTATTGGTATTAATATTTTTGTGACAATTTTGCACTTTTACCATGGCCCCGGAATCTTTTTTGTATAATTTCACCCGCACGCACTTATTGGACTTTATTACTCTATTAGACTTTGATCTTCCTCATGAAAAGCTCACATCGGCCCACGGATACAGAGGGCTGATTTCGCATATGCCAGTTTACGCCGTCTCTGGCGTAGATGTGATATCCAGCTATCGACCAAATAGCGGGTATACTGCTCAGCAGTCCGCTCCATCCTCCTTTGTGGCTGTGAACGGGACAAGGTCATTGAAAGTGGAAGACATGAGAAGACTGACTAGCTGCCGGCGTTCTACTTACATCCCGCGTGAAGTGGTATAATAGGGCGAGCAATATTGAGGTTAGGCGTCGAGTGGTAGGCTAGGTAAGGAGGGAAAACCAACAGACGAGACTGGGAAGTTACATCGACTAAGATGGTTAGGACGTGTTACGCATACCTGCCTAGCCATCGCCTCCCTCGAAAACAGGCAATGTTAACTGATATAGGGTCAGGTTGGAAAAGAGCCAGTGGTGATCAAAACAAAACATGGCTCCATCAGTCAATGAAATCCCTAACAGTTAGTGTAAGCTACGTAAGAAGCTGTAGACTTCCTGGTTGGGGTCCTCGGGACGGTAAAAACTAATGAAGGCTGGAGACAATTGGTGATATGGCTCAAAATCGTTCTCAATGGCTGGCGCAGATGCATCCACTCCTTGTGACTTATAATACCCAATGAAACTATATTGTTCTTCGATATTACTATTCTTTTTGCCTCATATCTCTCTTTACTGTCTCTATTTTGCGTTTCTTTTTACTTTCTTCTTTTACTTTGCGTGCTACATGGAGTGTGGCGACTTGAACTGCTGCACATCTGTGCAAAGTTCTATGTTGAAAAAAGACAGACAGATATCGGCCCACACGCTCATAGCCTACCTCTGCAAAGTAAGTTCCACTCACTGCCTTCACTCCAAGGCGGGGAATGCACCTCACAAAATCAAAAAGAACGCGAATATCCACGTCTGGCGTTTACAACCGGCCTTGTGGAAATGCTGGTATGCATAGGGGAGCTGGGAAATCCTCATCTCAAACGTTTGGTGTACATACTGTCCAGAATCCGAATAGATCGAATTGCGCATGGACCTGTTTTGGTCACCACCAACCATGAGAACGCAACTCCTAACGCTACTCTGCTTCACTTCCTTGTGGATTAGACTTCAAGTCAAAGATTCAGGATGGGGTAGGCCCTTAAGACAACCACCCGCTTCGGTTTTGACGTCCGGAAAGTATCCTGACCCTCTCAATTTTGTATGGTACATCTTTTGGTGAGTATAATGTTCGCAGTTTGCTTCAATAATAGTGATAATTACAAAATTACGTCAGTGATTTTAATAAAATACAAATAGTTTCAGAGAAGAGTCTCTTTTCAGCAAGTTAATTCACTTGGCTTTACAATCGCAATTATATATATAATTATTTTTGTATGTGTGTGTGTACATTAGGTTTGTCAGATAAGAATAAAAATTAGTCCGGATTATTCTTTACGTCATCGAAATATTTGAAAAAAATGATGACGAATAGTAAAAATTGTAACTAGTAGGGGGTGAAGATTAGTAAGTTCAGATTAGGATTGCGTAATATGAAAACGTTCAGGAAAAACTGGATGTTAATGAAAGAGCATAGAGATAAATATCAAAATAAATTATATAGTAGGAGAAAACAGTAAATAGAAGGTTGTGCCATACAAAAATGCACAAAATCGTATGAATAACAAATTATCGATAGCAGTTAAGCCTAGAACTATATATACCCAAGGCAGAAGAAGAAGATGGAGAAGTTCCTTCTGCGTACATATATCAGTGTTTTTCATCTGAATTGTTAAGGCTTCTGCAATTCAAAGCATACGGGAACTTAACATTTCCGGGAGGCTTCTTTTGACTTTGTAGATATTTTTTCTATTTCTTTACGTTCCCAGTGGAATATAGAGCTTCAAGATACAGACTTGAAGTTTCGGTAGCAGTGTTTATTTTTACAGGATGAGGTTGCTAGCCTTATGCCCAACCTTCCCTCCTTACCAGTCTTATTACTGACTTAGCGAGGTAAAGGAATGCGCTGGCCAGGATCGAACCCCAGACCATATGCGTGGTCAGCGAGCATCCTACCTCTGTGCCACCGACGCACGACTTTGTAGATAACTTCCAATGAATTCTCCTTGAATACTGAGTGGCCAGTGTTGAATATATGTCCAGTTATGGCACTCCTTATTGATCCACTGTTACCTTTTCTTAGTCAAGCGGGACAACGTTCTCTGATTCTTTTAGATAACACACTATGATCTATATATCCACGATCCACAGGAGCAAGTGAGTTGGTAGAGACACATAGAAATGGTCAAATGCGATAGTCTATCTTCAGAGTTGTTGAAGAATATTGGGCGGTAAGAGAATACTAATCGTAATGTAACAGTAAAGAATGCTCTTTTCAGGACATTCAATATTCTCTTCTTTACGGTGATTCTAATACATACTAACCCCATATTTATTTTGAGGCTTACATTAGGTGCAGGAGGAACAAGAAAAATGAAACATGCGTAGTTTATTCTACGAGCCTTAATCTTTGCGCTTTGATGTAGACACTTGAATGAACATGATGTACGAATGTTTCACAGAAACATCTACCCCTTTTAGCATGTCATTTTGTTGAGTTCACTTTTAGTCAGATTATCCATAATATCAAAATCAAGCTGTGTGGTATGAGAAATCTTACATGAATAAACGCAGACAGGTACCATGTTACTTTATTGTCTCAAATAAAACTATACCTAAATAAATTAACGTAAACTTACTGCCTGACACCATAATTGGCCAAATGTAAGATCATATGAAATGCTTCGTCTGAACCCGCAGGGATTACAAAATGATACTAAAAATATAGTTCAAGTATAGAATGATTAATAAATTGTAAACAGTAAACATGGGTATGAAGCAAACTTTACAGCGGAAAAAAATACTACGTAATGTTAAAGTTTGCTTACCTTACCAACCAATAAACTCACAACACAAACCATCTTTAAGATGAATATCGAAGTATATTGACACTTCATAAATAAGTACGATTTTGTTGCGTCTTTTTGTCACTTGAGGTGTGGCTTTTTAGTTCAAGTGTAATGATGTGATACAGACAATGTGTGCCAACGGAATATTATTCTCACATATTCCCACAGTTCAATTCGGCATTAGCAACAGAATACGATATATCTATTCGAACATTCTATTTGATGTTAGAGACAGAATACTTTCCCAAAGTTACATACTGCATTAACAACAGAATACTATGTATATTTGAACATTCTATTTCATGTTGTTTGATGTAAACCGAAATCACACGCTCGGTGATTGGTTAACGAATAGAAACTGTAGATATATAAACAGCGGTTTGATTGATGAAAAACATACCTTGGCTTCCGTGTCTTGCCTTCTATTGTTACACAAGCATTTGCCTTGCAGTCAATGGGTCACAGGTTCGAATCCCTCCCCATGTACTTTAACCTTTGCAAATGGTTGTTGCCACCAAGCCTCATACAATGGGCGGGACTCGTAGCCCGATACATGAGAAATCTGTTCCGAAGAACTAAGCTCTAACTTCCTGGTGCAAAGATACCGTATATCCTCTACATATTTGAGACCGCAGTACGACATTAACTTCTGATGCCCTGTTAATTATTACTGAAAACTTATCAGCTTAGAACGATCAATACATCTTCTTAGCACAGAAACAAAAATCAACAGAGGATATTGAAAAGAAGCATATTATTCCAATTGATTAATTTTCAAAATTTCAAACCTTCTGCCATAATCTACTCTACTTATCGATATAACTAGCTGAATGCAACTCATACCGATCAGTGGTTTTTGTTGGCCACATCAAATTGATCTAAGTACCGAATGACAGTTTTACTTATGGGTAACTACGCTCATAAACGATATGCCCGATTGATCCAGTTCAAACGGCTGAATTAGTACTTAGATCATAACACTGTGATCATTAAGCACTGCCAGTTGGTCAGCTATACTCATTTACTCATATCAATTAGTACAGTATTCGCGTTCCCCTTGGTGACAGAAAATGTGGTAAAATTTGACCTGACCATATTGTATATAGATTTAGTGATAGAGAGACCAAAAATGGAGTAATTAGACTCTACTTATAACTAAATCGACTGGGCTACAAGACCGAACAGTTGATTGGATTTTAATACCACTTCAACTATTGGATATTTTATCCAGCCTTCAGGTAAACTGAATACGCACAACAACTGTCTGTTAACCACAATAATTGCACAATCAAAGCAAAAATGATGTAGTTGAGTATAACTGAAACATCTAACATTCTGGCAATTGTAGGAATAAAAGAAAGTTCGCAACTGTTAAAATTAGCATAACTTTCGTGGGATTATCTCTGAAAATTTACTAGAAGACTTACCACACTGTTACGTGTGCGCACACAAATGCTTTTTGGTATACGCAACCATGACTGAAAAACAGACTAGAAGGTTTAAAGTTAAAAATAAGAAGAAACATACAATAATGTGTATCCATGGTATACATATCTTATTTCCATATATATTAGGATAAAAGCATAGATAATTCATCGTCAAGTACATCCATCCAGGACGTGATTCTTTTCCGCTGATAAAGAAGCAAAAGTAGTCTACATGAATCTAGGTAAAGAGGAATCTAAACCTTACGGTTAACTTCTCTTTCTTTGAAAGGAAAGTTGAATATTTGCCGGAGTTTTTCATTTGTAATATTGCCACTTTCTAGAAAAAAATCAATTTCAGTGAGTGACTTACTATCTTCCATTTCCCAAAAATGAAAAGCTTTCCTCTCTAACTTGTGAAACAAATGATGAAACGCGGTCTCGTTGTCGATTCCTTCAACGCTACTATAAATTAGACTTATTTCTCTCCAACAGAATTCAATTTCGTTTTTATTATGAGATATAGCAACCTCTATAAAAAAAAGTACAAAACCGAGTGAAAACGAGGATAAAACAAACCATAAATTGAACCATTTGGTGCCTTTAGAACTATTCTATACAGATGATCCTAAATTTTGTCAGCCACAAAACGAATTAGCATACACTTCTAAAGATTTTCCCGCGTCCGTGTTCCTGTAAGATGAAGTGAGAATTCTCCACAATATTTTTCCTAAAAACGTTAAGTTTTGAGAATCAATAGTACCAAAATATAGATGGTGGTGCTAATTCCAGCCTTCGAAGCATAATTCAAGAATTATGGAAGATTTATAGATGCAAAGTGTGAAGTGTTTGTATTGGTCTCTAAAATGGTATTGTGTTTTTTTTAAAAGGTTATAAGTAGAGTTAAGCGAGGTTTTGGTAAAATTAAATCAGGAAAAATTGAAAACAACAGGTATAACCTACTGAGGGTTAAAGTGTACTTTGTTGAGTAAGCACAACTGCAAGACTTATTTTACTAGTCCCACATGTCATAGTTGTTGACATAAAAGTGATGTGCCGTTCCAAATCTATCCACTCCAAGATTGTGTTACATGGTAGCAACTTAAGTTTAAGTGAAAAAAGATGACGTGGTATTTACCAAACTCTACCAGGAAAAGATGTAAGAAAGATATAACGCTAGGTAGTGATGGAATTAGTGTGAATCTACGTTCTAGTAAGCACTTCTACAACACTAAGCACCACCCCTTCCCTGCTTGCAAACTATCACAACAAAAGCATTCAGTCTTTTAGGAGATCCAACTCAGTGATTTCTGTTACCAATGACAAATAAATTCTCTATTCACGATGGTGACTGAGAACAGTGTAGCGACGCTATATTCCCTGAGAGAAAATGTGCCATTAAATCAGTTCAAGGCAGTAGAAAGTACTAACAACATGGTTATACTTATGCCTGTTGAATAAAAGAAATCCTCAGCTAACTGAGAAGCTATTAGGGACTGTGAGACTGCACATTAAAAAGAAAACATTTTACATTTGAGAGACTAGGTTAAATGGAAAACTTCGATATGGATAACTAAAATGTACACCTAGGCCTGACAACCATCGTAAATGTGACTTCACCAATAAAAACTGTTTTTGTTAGTAATTTAATAATTCGCATTGTAACATTAAGAACACAATATTCAGCAAAGAGACTCTTCCCAACGAATTTATTATTCTGTTGGGTCACATTATTTTGAGGAACGTCTCTACATAAAGATTCGCTGTTCTTTTAGACCGAAAAGTTATAACTTGGCTATAGTAAAAAGACACTAAAAGCTGAGCTCTAGGTCATTGTAACATATCCCGCCAGATGCATTTAAGTACTACTAAACCGTACCCAAATTAAACGTTTCATGCGTTTTTGCCACACACCTGTCTGGAAAAGTACGAAATAGTACCGCACTTTTGGAGAACTACCGAGAAACACGATTCCTTCAGTAAGAGAGTTTGGTGAATTACAAAAATACCGAGGACTATTACATGACACTCAGATACTTGTCTTTGCACTGATATTCAGAAAGCACTGCCCGAATAACGAGTTAGGTAGACGAAAATAATCTCGGAAAACACGGAAAATATATTCTGTAGCAGAAGTAAACCAAAGGCAAACGTGATGAGTCGTCGAAGTCTCGAAACAATGAGGTTCAGGAAATAACTTGAAGCACAAATTTAAGTAAATTATTTATTATGCAGTTGACCATTTCATAAGATTCTAGGTCTCAAGAGACCCACTGAAAGTACAGTAAGGAATAGCTGCGAATGAAAAAGCCCTTCGTGCATTGTGCATACAAATGTGTTTGGTGTGAATACAAAAAGCCTAGTTCGATATTAAGAGTTTGCGTTTAGCACTGTTAATCTAAACATTTCCAACAATTTATATCGTTGAAGTGCGAAAAGCATAGGCAAAAGTATCACATACAACACGTACACAACTCTTTTAAAACCAAAGTTTCAAAAGGCACCTGTAGATAACGAATAATTAAGATTGTGTAACTACACAAAGTTGTAAATTATAAGATGTACACTAGTCGTTTCGATCATTATGACTTTCCATCTTAAGTCGGTATTTCTCTGAAAACACAGAAACAATTTAAAGTAGTAAACATAATTGACCAAATAATCCAACTTGGTTGACTCACTTGATTTAAATGGTCAGTAAGCGCAAAAAGCAAGCGCCTTTGCTCAGTCAGTTATACAGTCGTTGGTATATACCAATTTAATTGCGTTTTGGTCGAAGGTTCAGTCCCAAGTAAAACAGTAGTTATCATATTTCCACTTAATATAATTGGAGATTAAATTTGGTTGCAACGCATCCACTTCAAAATTCCGCTGAACCAAACACTGTCCAATCACCTTAGACCAGAAGTAAAAACAGTAGATCTTGTTATCTTTGTTGTTATCGGATCAGCTGTGCCCTTGATTAAACCGACAGTATTTGAGGAGAATTTTATTTATTCGGAGGATTCTATCTGCTCAGGATTATATATGAACTTTGAGAAGGTAGTGAATTTTGCACACTCTTGTTTAATTTCGAATTCTGTTGTGTGACACTTTCCAAAAGTCTATAGATTAACTTTAAATCAGTTTCCTATGGTCGAAATTAGTTTTTTTATAAGTAGTGGGTCTTTTACTCATGGAAAGTGTTTTTTATAACACTATACTTTCTATATATCCATTTTTTGGAAGTGCATTTGGTTTTTACAGCTGGTTGTACAAAAATTGTTCCTTATGTCATACATGAATTCTGCAGTCACGATCCATTTCGAAAATTATGCCTGTAAAAGAAAAAAGACTCATGTGTCAATCCTCAGTCAACCAAGTCATACAGTGTGGCAGCTGCAAGCATTGGTTTCAAAGCATGTGCAAAAACCTAAACCCTGCAGCATATAAACGCAGCTGCAAGCCCCTGGCAAACTATCTTTTAAGTGACTACTGAAGTAAGACTGATTTCCGTATTAAAGAAGCCACTGCAATACTCAGTGGGGCATTAAAGCTTCTGAACTTCAAAGGTCCTCCACCACAGGAGAAGATCGACGGCTGTTCAGACACCGGTGGCGCGGTCAGCGTTACCGACAAGATAAAGCACGCTCTCAACGTGTCTCTGACTGGGAATGAGTGCCCCCCAGTACAGAAGAGCATCCGCCGTAGGTCATACACCCACTCTATCCCTACAACACTGATGAGTCCTTCAGTACCAGCAATAAAAAAGCTACAGAAAACTCCAACACCAATTCGTCTATTGCTACCACGAGAAAAGGGGTGTACCAGGGTTCAGATACCCTCGGACTTGTAGATAAGTCCTCATCCAAGAGAGCGGAACATACTTATCACACTCGAGACTTCTGAAACCAGAAAGTCATACAACGCTAGGAACAACGCTATTGCGGAAATTAGCCAATCAAGGATGGAGTTTGAAATTCATCTAGCTCAGAATGCAACGGCGCAACCTAAGAAAATATTCTCGCACATGAACTTCAGGAACAAGACATCCAGTGGGCACCAGAATCTGACTATTGACAACAACATAATCGAAGAGGATCAAGAAAGAGTAGAATCAATGACAGATAATTTCTCCGAGGTCTTAACACATGTGTCATCACTACCCACAGCATCGGCTCTGACCTGCTATAGATTGTTACCGTGTGACCGGAAAGACACTATAGGGAACCTCATCCGTAAAGGAGGATCAAGACAACCCCCTTCGACTTGCAGGCCTATTAGTCTCACCAGCACCTCAGTGAAGGAAGAATCATGAAGAAGGCTTTCATTGAAAATCTGGTAAACATCACAAGAGCACAGTATGGCTTCCGACGAAACCTCTGATGCCTGTTAAGTCTTCTCACGGCAAGAGAAAGCTGGACGACAGAAGACCCGTCAACTCTGTCTTCATAGACTTCAGCAATGCCTTCGATAAAGCGCCTCACAAAAGACTACTCACGAAGTTGAAAAGTCTTGGTATCAAAGGCATTTTACCAAACTGGACCAGGTAATACCTCATAGATAGGAGGCAGAGAGCAAGGATTAACTAAAGACTCTCCTCCGGGACAACGGTGCACAGCAGAGTGCCACAAGGCACAGTACTCGGGCCTCTCTTACTTATATCAATGAGTTATTTTTGCTCACTGATTCCATTATGGTCCTGAACTCAGATTATTTTGAAGTTTAGAGTTAGCTGGAAGTTGACAGGGATGCACTTACGACTAGTAAAGTATAACACACTATCTCACTGTGGCTGCATCTGGTCCCAAAACTTTATCGGCAATTCGCAGAGACTTTACTAGATAACCAGAGATATGTTTACCTCTTTATATACGTCCCTGATGAGGTCAAGACTGGAAAACTGTATCCAAACAACCACGGGACTCTTATATTCTGGAAATGGTTCAAAGGAAAGCAACAGGTAATATTTTTGGCACGACTAACGTGTCATACGAGGAAAGAATAAACAGTTTAGATCTCTTCTCCCTATCATACCGTAGGCAGAGGGGAGATTTAATTGCAATGCTTAAAATTTTAAATATTGACTGTAGACCTGATCTACGCTTTTCTTTCATTCCCACCAGGTTGGAACATCTTGGAAGGTGTAGCATGAGAGTTCAAAATCAAAGGAGAAACTATATTGTTGTGCAGCATCGCTTCTCACACCGAGTTATCAAGTCTTGGAAACAACTCACAGAATAAGTTATGTCTGAGTCCTTAGTTGATTTATTCAAGAAGGGTTTGGACAAGCAAATAAATTCACTTAGAAGGCTTTCTGTCCTAGGTCAACAAATCTGAATCTGATACATAAACATCAGTAAATGGACCATGATGTCTAAAAATTAAGATACTGTCCTCGCAAATATTCATTCTTAAAAGAAAAGCATATGGAACCAGTTTGCAGAAATCTTTCTGTAAAAACCCTTAAGTGTTTTGACAGTTCTGTTATACTCCTTAGCCCCATATTTCTAATATGTGATACGTTTGGGTTATAATAACTCAGACATGTTTTTATTAATTCTCCTGGGAAGACCTTAGTTAAGGGCTCTCTACTTTATTAACTTGGAAAAAGTGGGAATTTTGAGCGTGGAGCAAGTGCACTTGCCTTAGGAAATCAAACCAGTCATTACGAAAAATTCAAAGCACCAAAAAAGTGTAGGAAATTTGCTTGCTCTTCTCTAGAATCGGAGAGGCGAAGTGATACGGGCTGGTAAAGGCTTTTGGGAAGTTATTCGACTGATATAACTTATTTCAACGAGAGGAAAAATAAGCATAGGGACATGGAGTGTCCGTATCGCGTCTGCAGCCGGCAAGGCTGTTCACCGTGCATAAGAATTGAGGAGATATGGTGCCAAAAATCTGTTAGAGTGGTTGGAATCGAAGTGGACTGTCTCCGCTAACCCAGATGACAACTACGAGTACACGTAGGTCTGGTTAACATTATGTTACTTACAAAATCGAAAGAGAGCAATCTTCTCCAGTAAAAAGGACAGCAAATAAAAAGGTGGCAGAGTCACATAAGTATTGTTATTTATTATTTTCCCCTTGGGTTCTGAGTAAAACCTAGAGATTCAACAGCAGGCCTCCTTTTTGTCCTGTTTTCTACGGTCTTCTTTAGCTGGCCTCACGTTTCCCTATGATGTCTCATCTCCCCATGTTATGACTAACTCGGCTTCACTCCCTGACAGGTGCCTAACTCGTCGTTTCCCATTAAGGTCCCACACGAGCTATGGCCTGGCGTTCAACGGTCTTTTCAGCGTATACCCGCTCCATCTTCATTTTTTCCACAATATTTGTTGAGCCATAGATTCTGGGTTGGCTTGTTCCCTGAGTTTTTTGTTACTGATTCTTTCCTGCCTGGCATCTGATATTCAGCATGGAACCAGGGAAGGCAGCTGTTGATAAAAGTTTGCGAATTGGAGGAAATGCCTTTCGTGGCCCGCAGTAAGAATTTGTGACCTATATAAAAGAACTAACTTTACATTCGTATTGAGAGTCCGAAATTCGATGTTTATGTTAGCTGACTGCAGAAGATCTACGGCCTCATTTAAGAGTTATGGAGTCTTGAATTGCCTCTTTCACCCTGGCTGGTTTTGATATCCTCATCCATGTGGCCCGTAGTTGAGACGATGCTACCTGGATAAACGATGGAAATGACCTCTTTCATATTTCTCCCTTTAATTTGGTTGGTGCTTGTTGTTGTTAGTTGGTTGTCCCCATCACCTCCGTTTGCTCTCTGTTCATCTGGGGTCCTGTGCTGGCTTTCGCCAGCAAGTCTTCAAGTCTGTTTGACATCAGATAAAAATCGTCCGCGAAGTTCAGACCATCTAGATTCTTCTTGTCTGCCCAAGATATTCCTCTCTTCTCACTTATTACCATCTTCAGCTTCATCCATTCCACCATAATCAGGAATATCATGTGTGATAGTAGACGGCCTTGTCTTACTCTTGCATTCACTGCGAAGGCTTCCCTGAGTTCTCCGTTGTGTACCACCTGACACGCGCCAATTTCATATATCTGTTGAGCGGGTTTGAAAAAGATTTGGTGTCCGCCACCAATAACGCGGTACGTTTAACGTTTGCGTTACATTTTAGCTCGATTCTCTATATATTTCTATTTTTGCTGTTAGACTCGCACAAGCGTTTCTCCAGTTCCATAATTTTAACCAATAAGTCTTTCACTAATTAGTTATGGTTAGTCATACAAAAAAGCCACGAACTCAGTTACCTGTCAACGTGATGACTAATAGTACAAATATGCTCGCAACAACGAGCAGCACAACTTCCATGAAGTATGGAAGTGAGGTGCACAGCTTGCCTATACACCGCAAGCGTCGAGATGCCGGTTCACTACCATCTACTGTGGCTGAAACTGAGGGTGGAAACTTGCTGACAACCAGCAGTAGCATCACCTCTACAAACTTAGCGCCTGGTCCTGACATAAATCTCTTCACTTCACCCTACGTACGTGTCACAAAACTTCGGATACCAAGTCCAGCTCCAACACTCACTTCAGAAATAGAACGACTATAGCTGTCTGTAGAAGAACTGAAGACTGAGATGCGGGACATAAGGTGTA